GCACAAAAGGGAAATGGATGTGCTTTTTTACAGAAGATTACTGCCTTTTTTTTTGCAGAGGATTACAAAGTTAAAATGCAGCCTAGTAAATGAAAGAAACTCAGTTATGGGATTCAGACAGATTTGGGTTATAATCCTGCCACATTCTAGGCCTTCCTAGGCAAGAAAGCAAGACTCTATCTTAAAAATAAGCAGAGGACAAAGGGTTGGAGGCATGGTGCAAACAGGAAACTGCCTACCTAGTAAGTGTGAAGCCCTGAGTTCAATCCCCCAGTACCACACACACACAAAAGTAAAGAATGATGAAATTCTTTTACCATCCTAGGTATAGAGTGTTGTCTTTCCCAGTACTTATTTGTAATTATAAGAAACCCCAAAGAGATGGAATTCTAGTATAATTTCACACAAATACTTATGAAACATATGCATGCAGGACTCTTGGGGATCCTCTCCAATTTACTCTCCTATTCTGGCTAGGGATAGTATTTGGCAAATATTGACTTCTCAATAAATGTTAGTTAAACACATGAGTTGTTTTCTAGTGACCACTAATCAAAACATTGTCTTTCTTGTGGAAATATGTCAGGGATTATAGATTGGACTAGCTGCAGTATTCCAACAGAAATTAGTCTTAGTAGACAATGTGCAAGCAAAGAATCCCAGATTTGGACAGGAATTATATGTACTCATGTGATACTTGGTTCTGAGTATGGTATCTCTGTCAAACATTTTTGGAGGGGAAAGTGTTTCCATAGGGAAAGCAGGGTATGTGGATATGGAAACTAAATTGAACATTGGCTGGGCTAGAAGTCATTGCTATTTCAGTCACTACCAGATGTCTGCTGCTGTGGTTTTAAGAGACAGTGAAAGATGTGTGAAGGGTGGTATGCCCACTGGGTGGTTAGAAGGCGTATTCTCCCTCTCCATCTTTCAACTCATATTTAAAAATCACACCTCAATATACTCCTAAGATGGGTTTGACAAAGCTTTAAAAATTGTATTCAGTAATAATATCTATTTCATTTACACACTTGCAAATAGGCAGACTGAAGAAAGGTTTGTGAACAATCAGAATCCCCTCTCTTCCTCCCAAAAGATCAGAACCCTCTCCCAGTTTGGTGTGATGTAATATTTATAAAGTGCCAACCATTGAATGTATGTTGACTGGTAGATAAACCAGATGAGCCAGCTGCCCCCATAGCTATTGTGCTAACCTAACGAGCTCACCAGATGCTAGTTATGCATCTACAGTTTCCTTTCATGGTATTTTCAGGGTGTCTTTTGATCCCAATACTGTAATTATGAATTATAAAATGTGTTTGGTTATAATCTTAAAGGATATGAGTTTGAAGCTCTCTGAAACCTTTTTGAAAGGAATGAGCAGGTTCCTTCCCAAGAGACCCTGTCGCCATGGGGGACCAATCCATTGGTATAGATCAAGGTCCATGCTAATTGTTAAGGTATTTTGTTTTTTCTTTTCTAGAGAAGATATGGCACTAGCATGATGCAAGTCTTGGGAGAGAAAGAAAGCACAAGAGAATCAGTATAGTATTTAAATATATGGGACTTGTATTAGACCCAGTTCATGTTCAGACTCTGTCATACAGCTATGTGAACTTGGGCAAGTTAACATAACCTCTCTAAGTCTTGGTTTGTTTCTCTATAAACTTGGACGAGGGACAGTGGCTATTGAATCTTTATGCATGTTGGTTGAGGAGTAAGATCATGGTAAATAATATCTCTTCCATTGTCAGCCAGGTTGTGAACTAACCAGAAATAAAATAAAGGGTAAGACAGGTAACATCTCACCTTTGTTATTCTTAGAGCATATATCAAAGAACATGGCATCTCTTTATGGAAAAGTGGGTTTCAGAGTCAGACCTTCCATCACAGGGACAGATGCTCTTCACCAGATTGGTTTTGACTTCTTAGAATTGGAGTAAAGCAGTGGAGAGTGGCTGGGATTGTTACATTCACTGATCTTTTAGGCACAGAATGAAATATCAAGAGCATGGGAAAATGATTGCCCCTAGTAGCAGTAACTGCATAAGACTCTCAAAAGGATTCTATGAGATGAAGTAAGGTGTTCAACAAGTGCTAAATCATCAACAAAATATATTGGTTGATATTACCGCAACCATTAATACTGAGTGTCACAGCTGGGTAAGGAAATGGGATAAGGCTCAGTTTTGAGGAAAATCAGAGGGGCTTGGAAAATTATCATCCCAGGGAAAAAATAAAAACAGTCTAAGAAATTAATCTTTAAACTAAACCGGAGATCAAATGTCTATACTTAGTAGGTTCTGTTATTATTGCCTTGGGACAGAGGAAGTAGCATGAAGGTTCAGGGATCAAAGAGCTCAACTAGATGAATATGAAATGGAACTGGGCCTTGCCAGGGCACATTCACTCTTGAAATAACAATTTCTGTGTATAGGGCATTTGTCTAATCCATGTCTAATTGGTTTCTTATTTTTGACATGAGATTAGCCCATTTGCCCAGTAATTGAGGTTTTTGCTAATTGTTTAACCTTGAAGTATTCTTTTGGGTAGAATATTAGTGTTTTCCAGAGAAACAAAATAAATAGCCAATATATGTGGAGACTTACATATAGTTTATTTATTTAAATTTATTGTATATTAAGCTTTATATGTTATATACATAATTTAAAAATTAATGTAAATAATAGATTTATTATATATATAAAAGATTTATTTGGAGGACTCAATTCTCAATTACTGAAGCTCAGAGTCCCATAATCTGCTCACTGCAAGTTAGAGACCCATGGAAGCAGGTAAAGTAACTTAGTCCTAGACTGAAGGTCTGATATCCAAGGAACCTATGGTGTGAGTCCTAATCTGAGGTCAGGAGGAGATGAGGTGAGATGTCCCAGCTCCAGCAGTGAGACAGGAAAAATAGACAAAGTATTCTTTCTGTTATTCATTGTATTGTGTTCTTTGATGTATTGGTGGACTGAATGATCCCAACATTCTGGGAAGTGAAATCTGCTTTCCTGAGTTCAGCTACTCAGAGGCTAATCCCATTCAGAACAACCCTCCCAGACACTCCCAGAAATCCAGGGTCCACTCAAATTAACAGTCAAAATTAACCATTACAGAGGGGTCTTATTTTTTCTTAAGCTGAAAAATGCAGATATAGGAACATTTAACACTATTTTCCTATGACCCTCTCACCCCATCCTACCCTAGTTAAGCCTACAAACTCCTGTGAGATTTTCTGCAGATTTTACTTCCTGCTAGTTCTTAAAGTATTGAAAAATAAACTTGCCACAAATGTGAAATCAATAGTTTTTTTTCACAATCGTAATTAACCTCTGGTTTGAGCTAGGCATGATCTTTGTTCAAGGCAATTTTCTAAATTACTTCTTTGCATTCTCTCTCTGTGAATTACCATCCAAGGCCTTTCTTCTTCTTCCTCTTCATAATCCCTTCCCCCCACTTCTACTTTATATAGCAGGAGGTTCTGAAGAAACCTCTATGTTGGTATAAATGATGTTAAAGGAAACCAATTGGATTTTCTAAGCTTCAAGGGTGGCTTACCTGATCTTAAGAGGATGCCTCAAATTGTTGGGTTATTATCTTCTCATTTTACAAAGCACAGTAATTTTAAGTGATTGCCAGAGAGAAGTCAGAAGGGAGCTTAAGAGTGAATATATGATAATATGGAAATAATGCTTCACAAAAATGAAAAATAGCAAAATATGAAAAAGAGAAAAATGAAGCGGCATCAGATTATACCAGAATTATGTGGATAAGGAGGGCATTTGATGCATTAACTATTCCAGTTATACTGTTAGGTAAAGCTATGCTTGCTGATTTATCTATGCTAGATGAATAGACAAAATTTCCAAAACATTGGCTTTTTATATTGGTGTTTTAAAAAAGTTTTATTGATATGTAACTTACACAATAAACAATACATACTTTGAAAAAGAGGGGTTGTTTTGTTGCAGGAAGTTGCTATCTGAGATATGGGACATTGAGGCAGTTTAGCAGGAAGCAACATTTTATTGTGGCAGCACAGACCCAGAGGACTCGTTTCCAAAGGCTGAGCCCCGAGAACAAAGGGGTCTCATCTTATATACCTTTGTAAGCAGGTTACAGAAGCAATAAAATTAAAAAACAAGGTTTAACCCATATATGGTTATATGCAATTCTATAGGCTACTTCAGCTAGTTGTTTAGTGCCCTCCTACCTCTAGTGCTATGTGACATTCTTCACCTTTGAATTCTTTAGGTTTTATCTCTCTGCTATGCCATCCCTTCCTCTCTGTTACTTTATCAGAACTCAGGCCTAGTTTGTTTTCTTCTGATCCTACTCCCTGCTACATTAGTTTGGGTGGCTTCGGGAGATGGTGATTTTAACCCTAGTAAGTAAATTTTAGGATAGAGAACATAATACACAAATGAACATTTGTTATAAGGGAATGCTATCATAGTTTTCGTGAACAGAATATTTTGCTGATTGAATCCAATGGAATCTCACCTACTTCTTGTTTGTGAAAAGTGGGAACTGAGACATAGCTTCTATGGTTATGGAGATCAGATCTAATCATGGCCTAAGTGACTGGATTTGGACACCTGCCACCTCACTTTGTGGAAGTACATTTCTGAACACTGCCTTCCCTTTCCCATGTTAAGCAAGCTCTTAAAACTGTAAATCTCATGACACTGGAAAGTCTGATTTGATGTTTAAATAAATGTGCATTTCATGGTAATGACTCCACAGCTAAGCAAGCCTATATTTGGTAAAATTTTTTCTCTATTTAGAAGTCAGTGAATTTCATGTAAACTAAGAAGCTGCCAATCAATGTGACAGCTGAAACATTCACACTATTGGACAAAACAATAGGGCTTATGTCAGAGCCATGACCCAAGCTTGAAAATTAATGTCATTTTGTAATTCCTCTTAAGAATCTATCTTTTCCTTTGAGTTGCTCTTCACAGCATTTGCTAACTAGCTTTGTTGTTGGATTTTAGGGTTTGGCACAATATTCTGTCCTCTTTTATGGCTATTACGACAATAAACGAACGATTGGATGGATGAATTTCAGGTTGCCACTCTCCTATTTTCTTGTGGGGATTATGTGCATTGGATACAGCTTTCTGGTTGTCCTCAAAGCGTAAGTTTCATTTGTCTGTCAGAAAGTACACAATGATTTCTGGAATCTAACGGGGAATTAATTTGAGAACTGGAGACAATTTTGTTGCTGTTTCCTGTCTAGATGATTCAGAGTCTGTGGGAGATGAAATGTAGCATTAATATCAGCACTAACTTTATACTATTACAATCTCAAAATAAAAGGGTTGAACACAAACTCAGGCCTTTGGGTCACCCCACTGGGTCAGAATGATGGTTGCATGTCTATCTTGTGTTTGAGTGGATTTTTAAAGTGTACCTTTATGTGTGATTCACATTTCAAGGTGTGAATCAATGTTGTTAAGACAGAGAAGGAGTTCTGACCCTTCTTTTGCATGCAGAAAAGCTAGCGACTTGCAAAATCAGCCCACTAGGCAGAATCTGTCCTGTGTTCATTTTTTAAAAGCCAGAATAATTACTCATCCAAAAAATTTTAGCTGTGTAAGAGAGAAAAAATGAATGGCTCCCAATGAGACCATCACAACCAATTGTATAATCATGGTTTGTCTTGGGAAAGGATTTATTAGAGCACGGGAAAGAAGTTCATTGGGGAAACTAATAAAATTGCAGTTTTTTTTCCCCCTGCCTGATATATATGTATAATACCCTACTTAAAGACACTGCAGAACCTAACACATTTACTTAAGGCTATGAAAAAAACATCCTTTAGCAAACTTTTTGAACTAGCTTAGAAGAAGTGTTGTAATAACTCAGGGAAGGGCCCCATCCTTTTATTTGACTACGCATGAGGAAACTGACCTTTTGCCTTACTGTAGGAAGATCCCGTACCTGAGGGACTAAGAAGGATTAAGTGCACAGTGAGTCTAAGCAGGTGCTCTCTGGAGCAGCCTGTTGCACCCTTTGTGTTCTGTTCCTACCCTACTCATTAGTCCCACCAGAGAAATCTATCACATTTAGCTTTTAAGCTCTTTCTGGACTAAAAAAGCCATATGGAGGTCCCATATCTAAGATATTTATTAACTTCTCCAAGTGTAATCAGGGACTCCAGATATAAGGTCCATCTGCTGGAGTAGTACTATGTTCCACAAACCTGAGACATTTTCTGTTTTTTTTTTTTAACCATCTTGCTTGGCTAGACTAAAAAGTCAGAAGTACTATTTATGTTACAGAGGCATCAGGAGTATTATTTCTATGTAGGTCTTTTAGTCTCTGCTGGGGAAGAATGTCTTTGCATGCAAACTTACTCAGTATTTATTTATTTATCTATTGATCTATTGATTTATTTATTTTCTAATGCTGGCAATGGAACCTAGTGCATCCTACATGCTAGGCAATATGTCAGCTCTCTACCAGTAAGCCAAATCTACAGCCCTCTCAACTTCTTTTAGTGGCTTTATAGGGCCTGTGTGCCTTAGTGGGCTCTTGAGCTAGTCTGCCTAGATCTAATTTCCAGTTTTACCATGTGTGTGTTTACATAATCACCAATGTATTGCTTTTTTGGGGGAAAGGAATACTGGGATTTGAACTCAAGGTCTTGAGCTTGTAAGACAATTGCCCTAACACTTGAGCTATACCTTCCGCCCTTTTTGCTTTAATTAGGTTTCTTTTAAGGTCTCATGTTTTTTGCCAGGTCAAATATGGACTGTGATCCTCTTACCTATACCTCCAGTATAGCTGAGATTATAGACATGTGCCACCACACCCAACATTTTTTTTTTGTTGAGAAGACTCACTAACTTCTTGCTCACTGCCCTTGAACTGTGATCCTCCACCTCTTGAGTAGTTGGGATTATAAGCATAAGCTACAATGCCCAGTCTTAGAAATTTTAAAATCATGCATTTGTCTTGCCTTGCACAATGCTGCTTTGCATACTTTAAATTTATCTGCTAGAAAATTACGGTATTAGACACAAGTCTATCAATGTGTATGTTAATGTACAAGTGCATACTCATACATGAGAGCTCTCTCTCTTGCTTGTTTTCCTCCATGGTGCTGGGAATTGAACCCCAGGCCTTGCACATGCTAGATAAGCACTCTATCACTGGCCAGATGTCCAGCCCTATTCTCTTATTTACTTATTCCAATGGGCTTTTCCATGATTTTTTCCTACTTTACATTTCCATGAAATTAAGTGGGTATTTTTTTCTCTTTATGAGACTGGCAATAATAATATTCATACAATATGCTAACAAATTCCTTGAATACATCAATTATGCACCATATATAGTCCCTAAATGGTATTAAACTTTTTGTCTATTTGTGCCCTCAAATTCTACCATGTTGACTTTGATTCTTCAATAATAATCTTAATAAAATTGTTAATATTTGTTAAATACTTTTCAATGCTGACTTGTTCTAAATTTTTGTATGTATCAGTCATTTAGTTCTCACACCTATTACGTCTCTATTAAAAATGAGTAACAGGCACTTGGTACTGTGGCTCAAGCCTGTAATCCTAGCTATGTAGGAAGCATAAATAGAAAAACTGCAGTCTAGGTCTGCCAAGGCAAAAATTCCCAAAATAACTAAAGCAAAATGGTCTGAGAGTGTGGCTAAAGTGGTAGAGTACCTGTCTAGCAAGTGAGAGGCCCTGATTTCAAGCCCCAATACCACCAAAAATAAAAATTCTAGTTGCCATACTAAAAAAAAGGTAAGGCAAAATTAATTTTAATTATATAATTTATTTAATCCAATGTATCAAAAGTATTGTCATTTCAATATATAATCAACATAAAATTATTACTGAGTTGTTCTGTCTATGGTTGGGGGTGGTACCAAGTCTTTGTAATCTGGTGTATATGAGACTAGTCACATTTCAAGTTCTCAGTAACCACCTAAGGCAGCTCTAGAGGATGTGGTGGCTTTTTCAGATTTACCCAGTGATCCCACTTAGGTTAGCTGCCAGGCATCAAGTCCACATTTTCCCAGTCAAAGTCATCCATGCTATGCCAACCAAACCAGCCTGGCTTTAGCCCCTCCCTGTTTGTGTACTTGTTACATGATTTAAGTTTATTAGTCTATATAGGAAGACAATTCAAAAATTATACATGACTCCCCCAAACTTCCAGTCCTGGAAACAATACTTTGTAGAAAAAGAATAAATGATTATAAAGAATCATTTATTATCTGTTACCATCTCTACCTCCTATCTCAATCAAGTATACTCTTAGAATACATATGAGTGTATTTGTGGACTACATTATTTAAATTGGAGGGTAAAATGAGATAGAAGCCCAAGAAAATACTTTGAGGTTTAAGATAGGGTGACTAATATTGTTGGTATAGAACTCTTCCACTTTTAACTATACTGGGAATATCCTCAAGCCCTGGTAGATGAACAGTTTGTTACTTTAGTTTTAACCTTTCCTTCCTTCATTTTCTTTTCAAGTTGTTTTGAACATACCTAACCACATTTGAAGGTTAGAAATTTCTCAAAATAAGGATAGTTATATAAGTATTAAAAGCAAATTATCATAGTATAATATTGTGAAATCATATAACAGGGATACGCTCAACTTTTTCATACATTTGTGTGGAAGTTTAATATCTCAAAGTAAAGGTGGTTTACTTTTAAAACCTAACAGTCCCATTAAAAGCAAGCTATAAGTTCAAAACACTGGGTTTCACTGGCTTACTTCACAGTTGCTAATCTTCTGGAAACAGCTGAATAATTCAGGGAAAGCTTGCCTTAGTGAAAAACTACTTGTCTTCTCCCAATAAGTTTCCCTACTGCCAAGTTCCCTGAGAGTAGATCAGATATAGATTTTCTGTTTATGAGCCTGGCAATAACACTAATGAAATAAGCTAAAATATCCTTGAATACCTAAATCATGTGTCATATATAACCCCCAAATGGTGTTAAAAATGTCTGCATATACTACTTTATATATACCATATGCATGTACCATAAACTGGCCTCAGTACATGAATCTAAATATTTTAAAACTTAGTGAATTAGTGTATATATTCATACATATTTCTGAAAATGTAACATTGGCCATATTTATCCCTACTGTGCATCATCACTATTTTTAACCCTTAAACATTATAAAGTCCCTATTATACCATTTTACACATAAGGAAATAAAGCTCAGAAATGCTAAATGACATATCCAAGATCATTTGACCGTAGAACTTATAAGTTTTCCTAGTTTTGAAAGGTATCTTCTGCAGTACATCTTGCCATCTCTCTGTATTGTGTTTCTTCTTGTATAGGTCAATTTGTTTCTCTAGTCTTGTATAGTGGGTTGAATAGGCATTGATTATTCCCATTGAATGGATAGAGAAATTAAGGCTCAGCAGATTTGATTTGACTAAACTCAAATAGCCAGAACTGAGTTTGAACATCAACCTCTAATTGCAGCCATATTTTTCCTGTCTGGTGAAGATCCATCCATGCACACAACAAAGGCCTGCCTCTAGCTTGTCCTAGGAGATCTTTTTCAGTTTTAAAATTCTGTATTAAAATTGTTCCTAGCCTATTGTCAGATTCTTTTGGCGTTATTATGAATTTAGTGCCCCTAAATTAAAGACAAAATTAAATCTGTCAAAACTAAGTTCACCTTTCAAGACACTTGGATGTCCCACAATAACATTAGAATCATGCCCCACCTCACGCCCCATTTCTAAATAAGGAAAATTTGTTTTCTCCCTTCTATCTAGATTGCCACCACTCCATCTGCTTCTTTGGGCTTCTTTCGTACCTGCTTACTGACAGCTGTGACCGCTCTCACACCCTGCCTAATGTTCTTCCATATCTCTTGATATCTTTATGTGGGATCTTAGTATCAATATTATTTCTTCTTTCTTCTCTCCATCCCCACCACCAACTACACTTTTCTTAGCTGAAGGAAACTGATTAGATAAAAACAGTCAAAGCCCCTCAGAGACTCTAGTTTAATATTTTACTTCTCAGAATCTCAGAGGTGTTTTCATTGGAGATGACAATATTTGATGTCTCTAATGATGAATTTCAGACTGTATAGTAGTCTATGGAAAGTTAAATGGGGCTGACCTACTGGGACAAGATGTCCTGGCAAATGCCACAAAGCACATGATTGTATTATACTCTTCAAACTACAATTTGGCCTTCTTTTGAGGGAGCAGAAAAGCAGTGAGGTAGAAAAGACTTACAACCACCATGTTCTATTTCTTGTTCTGCTTTATGTTCTGAACCTATGATTATGAAGTACAACATGTAAAATTTTCTTTTTGTAAACATGGAGGAGAGATAGTACTGATCCATGATGAATATTGATAGCTTATGAAATGAGATGATATTGTCAAAATCTGTCATAATGACAAAGATAGCAATAGTGTGATTAGCATGTCATATGTACTGTACCATGAAATGCTACTTATGATGTATGTATTCATTTGGTGAGACTCATTCCAGTAATAAGTTTATTTCCAGAATGGCAATTCAAGTATTTTTATGCATTTATTTAATAACTTTTTATGGAGTACCTACTATGGGAAATCTAGGGAGCTATCTGGGGATTTAATGGTGAGTAAAATAAAGTACTTCCTCTCATGATTCAAAGTTGAGGAAAGAAAGAGATGATCAGTGGTTGTGGCCAATATAATATGGATTTTGTATTATTCTTTGCAGTCAAATATTTGTTTTAGTTTCTTCTTTTTAAAGAATTCAACACATACTATTTTGTATCATCCTTGCAATAGTTTTCTTTCTGAGTGTGTGTGTGTGTGTGTTTGTATTTAATGGTCTTGTTCTGTCAGCTTCTAAAGATTTTTTTCCTTCCTCCCTCTTGGTCCCCTTCCTTTTCCCAACCTTCGTTGGAGGTGACATTATAATAAAACAGTTAGCTTAGGATTTATAGGGGCATATATTTGATTTATTAAAAACCTCCACATGGACCCATAAAATAAGTGAATGATCCCAGTGTGTAACTGTAGCTGCAGATTTGTGATCTAGGGAAAGAAATTCAGAATAAAAAATGTAGGTGACAGCGTAAGTGCTGTAATTGCATTCCCCAAGTCCTCTGGAAAGATAGTTTGCCTCTCAGAGATAAAGTAGTCAAAACTAAAGCCCTTTTGAAAAAGGAAACATTTTCATAAACATGTACTTTTGCTTTCTCTATAGATGAGAGGTAGAACTTCATGTAGCAATCAGTGTGGTATCTCAAGAAAAATGTGTTGCAGGCACACATTTTTCAGTATTCTCCTTTTCCCATAATTTCCACATGTCAAATGTTCCCAGTTTGCCCAAGGGCTCCTTTCTGTGGAAAGCCATCTTCAGCTACAAAACTCTGCCAGTGACAAAGACTTATTTATCACTTATCAGTCAAGTGGCCATTTTTATTTGAGTCCCCACCCTTTGCTCAATGACAGGTACTATGTTAATCAAAGAAAAAAATTTCTCCTCATGTTAAATCAGAAGTACTGTATGATTTCAATGTCAAAAAAGACATTGCTGTGTGGTTTAACATTCCTCATTAGTGTCCTGGTTTGGACATTGGAATAAAGTCAGAAAACCTGAGCCCTTGAACTATCTGTATGGTTTACTGCTATCAAGAAAGTAATTGTAACTTCATTGACATTTTGCTCAGTCTTTGAATAGAATATGTGTTAAAATATATGTAATTAGTATTTGCAAAGGGTAAAATGGTAGACTGTTAAAGGAAAAATTGTTTTTGGTTTTCATAACACGTCTGGCTGTATAGAAAAATGTATAACTGGGTATGGTGGTGCACATCTGTAATGCCAGCACTAGGGAGGCAAAAGAGGGAGAATTGTAAGTTTTAGGCCAACCTGGGCTCCTGAGACTCTAATTCAAAAAAAAAAAAAATCAGCTCCCTCACGAAGCCAACCAACCAACAAATAAACCCAAAAAGAATACAAATATCTCTGAGAAATGTGGGTAATATGGGAGAATGTTGGTGACCTCAAAGATGTCAGTCAACCTATTAATGTCATCTTTATGTTAGCAGACTTCCTCGTTTTGTTTCATATCACTATTTTTAGAAAACCAAAACTTTTGGGACTGCTTTATAATAGGTATTAACTGAAATTTTAATTTTGCTATTTATAGTGACAGGGAAAAAAGTGGAGTTCAGATCGTGAACTATAGTAGTAAAGCTACAGTTAATGCATTTTAATTTCTATAAGCAGAAAATATTTTAAAAAATCGCTGGTTTGAGTACATATAACCACTCAGCCTTAAAAGTATATAAAAATCTTGATTTCAGTCAAGAATTGTATACTAAATAGAATATTAGTGCATCCAATGTACTTGTTCTTTGGGAGGAGACTTTGGGGGAGAATTAAAATTTATATGAGCCTTCCTTGAAGGGATTAGTTCATCTGTAGGCTCCAAGGGTATAGGAACCAATTAAAGTTGTGTGGAACAGCATAAAACACTATACATATGTTTTTCCTGGAGTGGTTCTCATCAAATTCTTAAAAAGATCCTTATCACGCAAAGATTAAGAAATAATTACATAATATTAATATCTCATTTTAAGATAACAAATACAAAATGTGTATTTTGCATACATTATACTTATTAAAATCATTGATGTATAATGGTCTTTTAATTTCAAAGGCCTGGAACATTAACAGTTAAAAAATTAAATAGAATTTCAAAATAAAACTTCTATTTTCTGGTTATTAGAATAAACTTGTTGAAAAATATGTATTTAAGTTTTACTTCTTTAATTGATCTATTATTAGATGTTTTGTCACTCCCACTCCTGCTCCTTTCTCTTTGTATTCTGGCTGCTAGGTTAAACTCTCTGATTTTATAGGATGACCAAAAATATTGGTGACGATGGAGGTGGCGATGACAACACTTTCAACTTCAGCTGGAAGGTGTTCTGCAGCTGGGACTACCTGATTGGCAATCCTGAAACAGCTGACAATAAATTTAATTCTATCGCAATGAACTTTAAGGTACAGTCACAAGTTTTAAAAGCCTGTTCTTTGTGCTTTGAGAGTAACATTGGAGGTGTTCTAAGTAGTCTAGCTAGTAAAGTATCTCGATAATTAGAAGAAAGATGAACTTTATTATTTCTACCTGCTGGTTCTGATTGTGACTTGGAAATATTTGTTGACCTATAACAGAATTATTATCACTGGAGGACTTTTCTACTCTAAATTTGGTTTAACAATGCTGTTTGGTTGAAACAAGAAAGCATTAGTAATCAGAATCAGAGAGTTTAAAATTATAGAAAAGTCCTCATAATTATTTAGCTTGATATTTAAAATGATTCTAAAGCATTATTATGTAGCTTTAAAAAATTATATGAGAAGAGAGTATCTTTTAGAATGAAGACTGTCCTAGTATGTTTGAGTTTGTTTATAAGAATTTTTCCCTTCATTCTCTCACTTACCATCACTTACTGGCAATGTTCCCCTAGTTTGTGAATTCCAGGATTACTTTACATTTTTATTTCTCATGTTGCTGAGCTCTGAGTTAAGATTTTTGTTTGTTTCTTGTCCTTTGTTTTGCATTGGTATAGGAAGCCATAACAGAAGAAAGAGCAGCCCAAGTAGAAGAAAACATCCATTTGATCAGATTCCTGAGGTTTCTTGCTAATTTCTTCGTGTTTCTAACACTCGGAGCGAGTGGATACCTCATCTTTTGGGCTGTGAAGCGATCCCAGGAATTTGCACAGCAAGATCCTGACACCCTTGGGTGGTGGGAAAAAAATGAAGTTCGTCTCTGCATGCTTTTTATGTGCTTAGCACCTGACATTTGCTATATTGTGGGTTATTTTTTAAAGGTGTAATATTAGATAAGGCTACTTTTTACTGTCACTTCATCTTGCCCTGTAGCTGACTAAACTTGTTGCCTATTTCTATTCTATTCCAGTCCTGTTCTCAAGTCTATACTGTTTTTGATTTTGTGGCATGATGGAAGGTTGGATTGGAAGAGCTATGCAAAGGGGTATAGTGCAACTACTATATTTTACTGATGGGATAATGGGCAATTGGTTTATGGTCACAGGGTTGGGAGTAGAGTCAGGGTGAGAAGCTAGGAGTCTTACATTTAAGTCCAAAACTTTTTTCATGACCTTATGTTGCTTTCCCAAAAGATCTTGCCTCTGCCACTGAAAGATAGTTTCCTGAATTCCTTGAAACAGAATAATAGTGCCCTTATTCCCTATTTTATTTCACTGGAAGCATTCACATTGCCTCCCCATCTTTGGGCAAGTTTGGGCTTCTCTTTGTTTCTCAGAAGAAGTTTCAGTGCTCGTCTTTGTTTCTTATCCCTCTGATGAGAAGCCCAGCTTTGCCAGGTTTGGCTTCAGAGTGTCTGACCACTTGGAAGCAAGAGAAAGAGAGGAGGGTAAGGCAGACAAATGGAATCAGAAAGTCATTGTCATGAGTTGTTGCTAGGGCCTGTTCTCCTTGTTAAGTGTTCTAGTAGTTGACAGTTTTGAACTTAGATATTTTTAAAGTATATGCAGTGAGAAGTGTATAGTTCTCATGATTAAACATCCACAAAGCCTTGTAGATTTAAAAAAAGAAGATAAATCTTTGTAAGTGTAGAATTTCCTAGAATACTCTTGGACTGCAAATGATATTATAGTCTACATACAAAAAAGGCTACAAATAAAAACATTTGGGGTATTTCAAAAGTAGTAACAGTAGAGACGGGAAACCATGCATTTAAGAGACCATAGCACCACAGACACGTTCATGAAAGCCTGTAAAATTGAAGTTATTAGGTAGAGGGATTTTTTTCTTTTACTTAAAATAAAGGAACACTTCAAAGCAGTTTACAAAGTTTGTTTTTAATAGTCTCTTTTAAAATTGCAATAATAAATATAGGCAAAATTGTCATGCAGCTCTGGTCTATGGTTTATATTGACCATATTTTTATAGGTTAAAAGTTTAGTGATTATCATTAAAAGAATCACCTCTTTTAAGAATCTGCCCAGCAACTATTTTAGGAAACTCCTGAGTCCTAGAGGCAAACAAAGGTAGTAATATGAACTTATGAGTAATTAGAAATCTAATGAAACAAAATTTAACAAATTTTAAATAAGAATTTAAAATTTGAATTAAAAACAATAAATTTTAATAAAATTAAATTTACCTTATACACAATTGAACAGGAGCTGATATTTTATGCTAAGCTAAATTATTTTATGCTGATTTTATATTATGTTGTGCTAAGTTTTCTATCTTGCTGACAGTACTGTTCTTAATTAAAATAAAAAATATTAACATTTACTTTCAAAATGTAGTCTGGTAGTTATAATTATTCAAAACATGGAGTCCACAGAGAAAAATAGGAAATGTTTTCTGGCAACAATTTGAGCCAAATATTTAGGAAACACAGTCACAAGTGTTACCTGAAATCATTTTTCCTTATAAAAGTAGTACATGCTCTATATTTTTCTTTTACTTAATTTAGCCTAGTAATGCAATCATTAGGGTACCAAACAGCCAAGAGATAAGAACAACATATTTTCTACCTATCATATGTTCTGTCTCTCTTGTATGCCTGTCTCTCTTTTTCTGTCTCTCTTTCTCACTTTCTCTTTCCTGAGCTCTTGCATCATTCTCTTGCTCATAACATTTTAGGCTAGTCTTTCATTTTTGAAACTTTCTTACCTTTGCTTTTATAACATTATACTATGTTCCTTCCATTTATTCATCTGAATGTATTCTGTTTTCTTTTGCTAAAACCCATTCTCTTTTTCTTCTTCCTCTAAAAGTTTGCATTCTCTAAAATTTAGTATTGAATCCTAAACCAATTTCAGGGAGTTCATCCTTTCTAATGGATTAAACTAACCTATGTACTGATGGTTATCAAATTAGTATTACAGTTTGGACCTCATCCGCCAGCAGCTCATTTTCCATTTCTTTTGGAAGTCTTACAGTAAAGTGCTTCACCATAGCACAGTCAGTTAGCATATAGAGCCAAATGTGCTCTCGAATATATTGTGATATAAATTACATTCTTCACTATACTGGAAATAGATCATTAGTAGTGATGCACACATGTACACGTCTTGTGAATGTGAGCGGAATATTATCTTTGTGGTGTCATTGAGATTCTTCTTCGTCTTATGAAAGATCAAAGGAACCTAGCCAAATTCCTTACAAGGTTATAAGAAAAGGAACAGTAATTTTAAATCACCATTAACTTGGTTCATGCCTTGTGTTTCCTTGCAGATGAACATGGTTATGTCCCTTCTGGGGATGTTCTGTCCAACACTGTTTGACTTATTTGCTGAATTGGAAGACTACCATCCTCTCATTGCTCTAAAATGGTTATTGGGACGCATTTTTGCTCTTCTTTTAGGCAACTTGTATGTATTTATTCTTGCCCTGATGGATGAGATTAACAACAAGGTAAATCTTGTGTCTGGATGTCCTTGCTATCAGCCTGTTAATATCCTAGTCTTAAGATTGCCAGAAATGCCTTTGAAAACTGTGTTATCTTATTTTTTATTCTCTCACTTTGCTTTCTAGATTGAAGAGGAGAAGCTTGTGAAGGCCAATATCACACTATGGGAAGCCAATATGATCAAGGCCTACAATGCATCCCCCTCTGGGAATACCACTGGGCCACCCTTTTTTGTTCATCCTGCAGATGTACCTCGAGGACCCTGCTGGGAAACAATGGTGGGACAGGTAAAGTCATGAATAGAGAACATGCAATTAGTAGATTGAGAAAAGAACAGGTTCAGTACTTCTTCCAAATGTGTAGCCTTTTTTTTAGCTTATTAATGCAATAACTAAAGTTTATTGAATGCTTAGCATTTTTTGTCTCTGAATTTCATATGTATTATTTCAAGTAGTCCTCACACCCATCCCTTGAGATAAATACTTCTTGTATATTTCTTCTACAATTGCATATAAAGGGGAAATGGTTAAAATGATGTGAGGAGATTTTTACTATCTCTGTATTTTCCAATAAAACATTCAGATTTAGCATTTAAATGGAGTTTTATTTAGTCTTACATGTGTGCCAAAAAAATAAAATAAAATAAAAATAAGTTCTTTGGGGGAATCATATACTAGTACTATTACTAATAATTTTCATCAAATAATTTTCCCTTTAAGCCTAAAAGAAATACTTTTTAAGTGATTTGTTTCTGTGATGATTATGTAAATGACCCCAGTCCAAGACTAGTGACATTTTACCAGAAGAAAAAAAATGTTTCACATAGCTTTCTGTTCAGTAATGGGAAACCAAGCCAAATAAAAACAGTAACAAACTACTTTAGGGCCTCTTATTTCTGTTCAGATCCAATTTATATTTTGAGAAACCTGTAATTTTATCTCTTTAAAAAATAACATCCATAATGTACATTCAATAAACTGATTTAGCCCTTATTTCTTCATATCAAAGTGCTTCTGTTAGACAACACTTCAGGCTCAGCAGCAATGTAGTCCTTGTGAAATTATTTGAATAACCTTTTGCTGTGTACTAACTTTTATAAGATTAAATAAATGAAAGGCTTAGCACTAGTCTTATTAAACTAAGACAATTTTTTTATTCATTTTTTCACATGTGCATACATTGTTTGGGCCATTTCTCCACCCCCCGCCTCTCTTCCAGGCAGAACCTTTTCTGCCCTTATCTCTAATTTTGTTGAAGAGAAAACATAAGCAATAATAAGAAAGACAAAGAGTTTTTGGTAGCTGAGATAAGGATAGCTATATAGAGAGATTCCTAGCATTGCTTCCATGTACAAATGTGTTACATCCCAAGTTAATTCATCTCTAACTGACCTTTTCACTAGTTCCTGATCCCTTTCTCATATTGACCTCTGTCACTTTAAGGTTTCTGTATTAGTTCCTCTGTAGTGGGGACATCAAATATTTTCAAGTTTTGGGTTTCTTATCTATCCCCATACCTCCTGTATGTGCTCTCCCCTTATCTTGTGACCCAAGTCCAACCACATTGTTGTATTTGCCATCAATCTAAAGTCTGCATATGAGAGAGAATGCATGATTTTTAGTCTTCTGAGCCTGGCTGACCTCACTCAAAATGATGTTCTCCAGTTCCATCCATTTAGTTGTGAATGATAAGATTTCATTCTTCTTTGTGGCTGAGTAAAATTCCATTGTGTATAAATACCACATTTTCTTAATTCATTAGTCAATAGTGGGGCATCTTGGCTGTTCCCATAACTTGGCTATTATGAATAGCGCTGCAATAAACATGGGTGTGCAGGTGCCTCTGGAGTAACCTGTGTCGCATTCCTTTGGGTATATCCCCAGGAGTGGGATTGCTGGATCATATGGCAGATTTATGTTTGGATTTTTAAGAAGCCTCCAAATTTTTTTCCAGAGTAGTTGCACTATCTTGCATTCCCACCAGCAGTGTACAAGGATTCCTTTTTCCCTACATCCTTGCCAATAGCTGTTGTTGGTGGTGTTTTTAATGATGGTTATTCTAACAGGGGTTAGGTGGAATCTTAGTGTGGTTTTGATTTGCATTTCCTTTATGGCTAGAGATGGTGAGCATTTTTTCATGTGTTTTTTGGCAATTTGAATTTCTTCTTTTGAGAAAGTTCTGTTTAGTTCAGTTGCCTGTTTCTTTATTGGTTCATTAATTTTGGGAGAGTTTAGTTTTTTGAGTTCCCTGTATATTTTGGTTATCAGTTCTTTGTCTGATGTATACCTGGAAAATATTTTCTCCCACTCTGTGGGTGGTCTCTTCAGTTTAGAGACCATTTCTTTTGTTTTTCAGAAGCTTTTTAGTTTTATGAAGTCCTATTTGTCCATCCTTTCTCTTAATTGCTGAGCTGCTGGGGTTCTATTAAGAAAGTCCTTGTCTATACTTATTACTTCTGAGTGTTTCCTGCTCTTTCTTGTACTAACTTCAGAGTTTTGGGTCTGATGTTAAGGTCCTTGATCCATTTTGAGTTGACACTAGTAGAGGGTGATAAACATGGATCTACTTTCAGTTTCTTATAGACGGATAACCACTTTTCCCAGCAACATTTGTTGAAGAGGCTGTCTTTTCTGCATCATATATTTTTGACGCCTTTGTCAAAAATAAGGTGCGCATAGCCTCTTTCATCCAGCAGAAAAGTTTTGTTTTAAATTATGTGTTTACTGTAATATTTTTATCTTTCAAAACTGTTTTCTTTGCATCTTAACATATCATCATTTTGTGATGTACAATTTTCCATATGTACTTAGATAACATTCTCTACAATCAAGATGTATTCTTCAATATATATCCTTAGTATCAACTTTATTACATATGTTATCTTAAATGTTTATATCTTACTTTCTGCCTGTCATGCATTAACAGTAATGCTTAACCTGCCTTGCACTGATAGAAATGCTATTTCTCTTCTCATTACCTGTAGTTTGCTTTATACTGGTACTTGCAGAGTTTTGGTGCACAGATATTCTTCTATCTTTATGGTGAATTGTGGTATTGAATATTGTAAGATTTGCCTGACTCATATCATGTTCTAGTTGCCTGAATTCCAGTTTCTCTGGTATCAAGATTACAACCCTGACTGTCTTCTCACAGTCATTTTCATAAGAGAGTCTCTCTCTTCATTCCTTCATTTTTATCCTTTCCAAATCAATGTTTTAGATGTCACCTGTATATAGTATATAGTTGAGTTTTGCTTTATTAGTCAATTTTAGAATGTTTTAATAAACAAGTTAATCCATTCACATGTTTAAAAAAAAAAGGTGGGCATTGTAAGCTGTTTATACAGTGGAAGCTGGATGACCAAAGCTGTAAAAGAATGGGGGGACTACTAAGTCCTGCTCAATAGCCACTTTAATGAAGCAAACTACTGCTTTTATAAACTGCTTTTACACAAAGAGCATTTGGTCAGAAAAAGCATGCCAAATATTACATGTGAAGATTACATTAGTACAGGGAAATACAGTTAAAATTAACTCTTTGTTATGTCTCCTTTAAAACGGGAACAAAGAAGCAGGAGAAGCATCAGCATAACTTTCTTATGTACATCTGAAGGACACGAAGCCATCTGGGAACCTTGAATACTGTTTTTCTGTACGTCTGGCTTTCTCACAAGGCCAGATACCAACTCACACAAGCCAGGTCTGGTCTGAGACTTTTGTCCCAGTTCCTTGGAGCTTTCTCACGAGGTCAGATGCCAACTCACACAGGCAAGGTCCCACTGCTGGCTCTGACAGGGCATAGTTGTTTGGATTCATATCTGGGTCCTCTATTCTGTTCCACTGGTCTTCATGTCTGTTTTTGTGCCAGTATTATGCTGCTTTTATTGTTATTGCTTTGTAATATAGTTTGAAGTCGGGTATTGTGATACCTCCAGCATTGCTCTTTTTCCTGAGTAAGACAATTTAAACAAATGTGGATTTTGATAGATATGTTTAGCTTCAATCTGATGTCATTGGACTTAAGCTATTAATTTGAAATTTCAGTTGTGGGAAAAATAAATGCATGTATAATGCATTTATACATGTATACATGTATAATTAAAGACAGAGTATAAAATGTATGGCATAACTAAAGATTTTATTATATTTTTAAGCTTTCAGAGACTAAATAAACCCCTGTTTTCTTAGTTACACATTATTAAGTAATTTCAGGAATACACATTTCATATATGCTTATAAGAACATATCACATATGAGATAATAAATGAAATAAAAGTTGTCTGCATTTATAAGAGAGAAACTTGTGATGCAAGGTGTGGTATACAGAATGATCCTCAAAGTTGTTCACGTTCTTATCCCTGGAACCTGTAAACATGTTACCTTAAATGGCAAAAAGAACTTTGCAGATGTGATTAAGTTAAGAATTTTGGTTTGGGAGAACTATCCTAAATTGTGTGAGTGGGCCTGACGAAATCACAAGGATATTATATATGTGAAAGACAAAAGAGTCGAAGTTTGAAAATTGAGATCTGACAATGGCAAAGAGGTTAGAGTTCTGTGCTTTAAAGATGGAGAAAGGGGCCATGAGCCAAGGAATGTGGGCAACCTCTAGGAGTTAGGAGAAGCAAGGAAATAGATTCTTCCCCATGTCTGTACTTTGATTTTAGACTTCTGACTTTTAGAACTGAAAGAAAATGTTTTTTGTTTTAAGCTATAAAGTTTGTGGCAATTTGTTACAGCGACAATAGGTGATGAATAGTCATGGGCACATGGGTTTCCCTGTTTCAAGGCTATGGTGAAGTATGTCCATGCCTTAGATCACATCTAAGCTTCCTCCTAAACCCTCAGCACAGGTTTTGAGAAATGAGAAAAAATGTAAACCTAGAAAGTACAATTTTTACAGATTCAGCATTTAGATATTCTCTTCTACACATCCTGAAATGCAGGTTGGCACAGGACTAGGAAACCTAGCCTTTGTCAGGAAAACACCTGACAGATGCTGATAGAATTAACTCTAGAGAACAAATTGTGGGCTGGCTACTTCTGGGGAGAGGATGGGTTAGATAGATACGAATCATCACTGTAGGAGAATATTTATGTTTCTGACATAGAAGCTTCTGTGGTAGTCTCACATGTACTTTTTTTTTTTTAGAAAAAGGATTTATTTAATTCTTGTTTGTAAAAGACCCTGGACCATGCTGCTTGTTTGATCCTACTTTTTAAATCCCATCTATAGTGAATTTCTTTATTTCATCATCTTTCCTTACTGCCATTTGTGGTTGGATTTCCCCTTTCTTTCTCCACTTTCCTTTCTCCAAAGGAACAATAAGCACTTGTAGGAAAGTCTGCAGATCCAGCATGGGTGTGAGCTCTGAACAGAATGTTGATGAGGCAGGTTGAGTCCATGGGAATGAAGGAAACACAAGGGATATAACAGCTTTGGGTGCCAGCCTGGTTTGGCTTTTATGACATCAATATCTATGTTCCATTTGGAAACATTTCTATCCCTTAGTCACATAAAAACGAAGAAACAGTAAAGGCAGATACATTCATATAATGTTGAGGGTATACCATAAAGGCCCTGTTATCATTCTGCAAGAACATTCCAGAAGTTTCCTTTTCTCTTCCAGTGATGCTCTCCATCTCTCCTTAATGATATTGTGAACTCAAAGTTCTCTTAGTTCTCAATGAATGTAATTTTGCTGCTCCTTTACCTCTGTAGTGATTTTCATTTATTCTCATCTCCAATGGTATTGATAAACAGAGGAGTCTTTCCTGGGGGACATCTATTTGAAGCTATTTTCAGAAATCTGCATTTTAAGGAAGTAGAAAGAGAAAGAAAAAGAACTGAAGATAACAATGACAATGGCTAATATTTATTGCATACTTCTAATAGTCAAGCATTAGCTCCTTAAATTTTTGAATTACCCTGTGAGAAGTGTCATATTATCATTATTTAACTTTGAGGACCCTGAGACTCAGAGAGGTAATTTGCTCAACTCCTCACAGAAAGTCACTGACAGGGACCAAATTTCATCTTCATGGTGCAATTAAAATTTGTGTCCTTTGTTACAATGCTGAATCATCCCCCCGAAACATAATTAGCTAAAGCTAATTGGGCACAGTCTCCAAACTCCTGACTTGAAACATCTACAGTCTGTGGCACATTGTGACATCTTTGATAATTTTTTTGTCTTTGCCTATTAATGACTCCTTTAGGTTTATTGGTCAAAACTGCCTGGACGTTTTAATTAAATGTCAGGAGAGTAAAATTGTTAGGTGTGGGGTGTGGTACTTGACAGGGGCCTGTGGGAAGGCCAGGTGTCTCATCTTGGCTAGCATGCTAGGAATTGAGATTGGATGTCATCCTGGAGATGACATATCATTTTTGGGCTTTTTATATTCTATGAAATAGTGCATTCTTCTTGTGCTATGTAAATAAATATTTAAAATTTGTATAATAATGTTCAAAACCTTTTCATGTATATTATATAAAAGTTAGGTCCCTTTTTGGGAAAGAATAGAGTTTAACAGTTGAGATGAAGATGTCTAAGAGGATATAGTGGACTTCCTAACCACTCTGAAAATTTCTCTTACCAACATAGTCTTCCTGAGCTGGCAATGGAACTGAAAACTATCCCTCATAGCCTACTTCTACTGAATGCTTGTCATTAGTGTCTGAACTCAACATTGCTGGCATAAACTGGGTAAGAGTGGAGTTAAGAATGAAGATCCTATATAAAGGCCCTGTGGCCTGAAGAAGTGTAGAGTTTGAGAGTCTAAAAGAAAACCAGTGAGGCTGGAGTGAAGACAAGGGAAGGAGAAATGCAAGAAGAACAGGGAGAGCTGAATGTGAGGTCCCTAGAAGGACAAAGACTCACTTGCTCCAGTGGTGACAACTCTTAGCACACTCCTGGGGGAAGGTTTTCTCACTTCTCCCTCCTCTGTCATTCTTCCTACTTCCCACCCCTGTTCTTTCAGATCACTTTCCAAAAGAGACTACTATAGCCTTTGCCAAAAAATGCTACTTTTGGTGAGAATGAATGCTAATTTCTTAAATTTACATTTTCAATAATTTTTTTGTATGTATTGCATTTACATTATAGTTAACTTCCATTTATGGAAGCTGATATACACTTTGTTTGTAATAGTATCAGCAATCTTTTAAAAAGATATCAAGTATACTAAAGCTAAAAGAAACAATGGAGAATAATGTTTCATGTGGTATTTGGATGTGGCTGGCTGGTGAAGGTGGTACACTATGGCTTATTGTTTAGGAAACACAGTTCTGAAGCATGAAGCTGGAAATTAACCAAAGGACTGTCAGCAAACTTACTATTTATTTTAGAAAAGAGACTCTCAACATACCTGGAAATAAAAACTGAAAGATTTCTAATATAGAACACTAGTATTTCTGCAAAATACGACCTGCTAGATATTTAGTCTTCAGTCTTAGGCCACAGGTTATTGCAGAAAAATAGAAAGGGAATAGCAGAAATGAGCTATGGTGTTGAAAATTTATAATAATATATCCATTTTTACATTTAATGCTTATTGTTATATTTTTATGAAGAAATATTGACTTTCCTCTCTAATTCACAATACAGATACTTTGCATATAAATGCAAACCCATACCACTGAAGTGAAATGAATTCTCCAGACCTTTTATTTGCATGTACATATCCATAGTCGTATTCATACAACATACACACACACACACACACACACACACACACACACACATATACATAGGGCATTTTATTAACAAATGAGTTCATATCACATATTTTATTTCATAATTTTTTAAAAAGCCTATCAGAGGATTTTAGCACTGCTTAGGAAACTTAATTGAAGTAAAATTTATATGCCATATATTTTACCCATTTAAAGTATATAATTCAATGCCAGATTAAAACCAAACTTCTGTGCTTCTGTGTGGTCAATATTTTCCTATTTGTATTTTTTAAAATTTTCATGTCATACTCATACAAAGAAAACTTTGGTATAGTGACTTGGTGATAATGACTAATTATTGTTAAACTTACAAAATTCAGTTGAATCAGTTTTCATTTACTAGGCCTGCCTACCTTTTTGCTTCTATCATTAATTAGAGTCTTTAAGCTGATAACTTTTTAGAAGCACGACAGAGTTAATGCCAACTCTAGAACTATTTGAAGACAGAAATCTGTGCGTTAATATAGATAATATCTCAACAGGAATTCGTGAGGTTGACTGTTTCAGATGTACTGACCACTTACGTCACAATCCTCATCGGTGACTTCCTCAGGGCGTGTTTCGTAAGGTTTTGCAATTATTGCTGGTGCTGGGATTTGGAATATGGATATGTAAGTATAATGTTAATTTTTCTCTCATCAGTTTTTCTTTTGTGATTCATCATTTACACACAATATGTAAAAAGTGCACCTCAGAGTTTGAGGGATGAGACCACCTTTTTAGATGTCAATAAGTGAAGACCAGTGAGTACAGTTATAATTCAGAAGGGACCAAACTTAAGTTTCATGATTTCTAAAATCAACGTAGAATTAGCACAGAATGGTTAAATCAATGGACCTTGACTTGTCTGTTAAATTTTTGAACTCAGGAAATCTTGGCCCCATTATCAGCCCCTCCCCATGAAGCTGGCTGGTGTTTCTAGAAGTAGGGAAGAATGGATACAAACTGCATGTTCTATTAATTCCTTTGATTTCTGCTGTACTACTGGACAGCTATAGGTCAGTTCCCATGCAGTAGACTGGGGGAAAGGATTCAGTAAATATAGTGCTTGCTTTATGAAGCTCACAGACTAATGAGGGCCTGCCAGAGACACCAACAGGGGCCTGTGAAAGTCTCAAGGAAGGCCCTGCTTGCTGACTGGGATCTGCTAAGTGGAGAATTCTGGAAGGAGCAGCTTCATTTCCTGAAATAATGTACGGTTTTCTCTAAATCCCTCTGGTTGCTGACTCCATGGCCAGCTTCTCTCTATGCTTAAGACCAAGTCCCCTTTGAGTTCAAGGGTAGCAGTAGAGCACACATTCTTCTGAGCTCTATCACATTGCAATGTTTTCATTGTTCCTTTTTCACAAATGTAACTGGCTCCAGTTATCCTGGGAGATATGTACTAAGGGAGGATAAAACTCTGCTTAAATACACCTGTGGTTTTCTAAGTACTTCATTTGAATTCCAAATACTTTTCTGGGGTCTTCTCTCTTCTGTATGATCTGCTTCTTTTCTTTCTCTGTGTGTTCATCTGGTGCAACCTTTGCTCTTGTTTTGTAAAGTCTACAAACATTTGCTTCTTTTTCTTATGTTCAAATATGAGATGGCCCTTGTATTTGCACTCACCTTTTCTCCCTCAAGAGGTGGACTACCCCAGAACTTGGTATGGCTACTTCATTCCTGTCATTAAGTTAACATGTCACCTCATCAGAGTTCTGTGAACATCCAATCTAATATAGCTCATCAAGTAGTGTCTATTTCAACTTGCTTTGTTTTTTCAGAAGATGTTCAACTTTTTGCCATATCCTATACAAAATGTTCTTATTATCTCTCTTCCTCTTTTAGAATGAAAGTTCTTTGAAAATAGAACTCCTGACCTCTGTTATTTGAGTCAGGCTGGTCACATGGCAGGTATTATGTGTTGACTGACCAGTTGAACTTGAAACTCTACCTCCTGCCACCATCCAGGCAGCACTTGCCATGGACAAAACTCTTCTTCCTTCCAGGGAAGTACCCATGGAGTTATTCCAGCTCAGTGGTCTGGAGCCAGTGATGTTTCTGTCCTCACCAGTGAAAGAATATTTTTTATAGCTGATCTCCCTTCTGTCGCATACTCTCTAGTCTCTGGACAAGTACTACATTTAAGACTGTTTTCAAGACTCTGGGCTAGATCCTCTGAGTATCTGACTTTGATACAATGCCTCTTATTAGGTGATCTCTATCACCCTCACTGAAAGTACCTTCCGAATGAGCCAAGAACAGTTAGGTAATGCTGCCTGGTGTTCGAAAATGAGGTCATGCTATGGATCCCGGATGCTCTTGTGCTGCTTTCCCATTGCTTCTCTGAGGTAGTCAGCTGGCTTCATTCCATTCCTATTTTCCTTGCCTGACTCAGCTCTTCTGGGGTAGACATAAAAATTGCCATTTCTTTCTTAGACTATTGTTTGGCTCTTGTTGGCCTTTTATCCCTTGCTGCTTTCTTCTTAAGTGGTAGAAAATTTGACTACAAATATGACGTCAATATAACATGACCTGGATGCATCAAAAACTGTAATTAAATAACTGTAATTTATTATTTATTGAGTGCTGACAGAGCTCTTGGGTTAGTACAAAGTACAGGAAACAACTTTCTGTTTTAGGTCATAGGGAAAGAATTTTCTCTCATGTTACCTTTGGAAGAGTCTTTGAAAGAAAACTCAGAATCAAAACATGTTTTAAAACATTAATATTGGATGATGTATCTTTGATGTGGATTATATCATCAATGACCTAGCAAGTGGATTTGCTTACCCACTTCAGTGCCTAACTAGTGCTAACCACTATGGGAAACCCGTGTGCTAGGTAATGAGTGAATATAGAGATGTAAAAGATGTTGCAAACTGGGCCTGCAGGCTAGATACAACTAGCAGATAATTTTTAAAATATGGCTGCCCAGTTTTGTGCTACTATTTTTTTTGTTTTTTTTTGTGGGGGGAGGGAGCTTTAACCTAAAATGAGGGCTGTCTTGCTTTTCTTGACAGATTGGAAAGCCTGACAATATCAGACCTATCTTCCCACTAGGGAGACATTGGCTAGAGTTGAGAAATCACTGCCCTCTGAAGTAGAAATACTCAATTGTTTTGGAATTTGGAGTGTGTGTATGGGGGAGGGGAACAGAGAGATGCCTCAATGCAAATGCAAAGGCATTATGGGATGAGTTGAGCCTTGAAAGATGATTAGGATTTTAAGAGATAGAAGAAGACCTTCCTGGTGGAGGGAAAAGTGAGTGAGTCAAGGCCCCAGAACTGAAAAGTATGGATAGTGCAGACACAGATGTAGAATTGAGCTGGAGCCGTCTTGGAGAAGAGGCTGATAAGGATGTTTACCTACTATTCTCCTAAACTTGCTAGCTGACAATGAGTTCCTAAAGCACCTGTCATGCAGGAAAGGAGAACCTGAGATGAGCTGGAAAGGTACTTGAAAATTCTTTCAGACATGAAAAGCATTGTCATTTTTGACATCAAAAAAAAGATCATTTCTTTTTTTCCCTCAAAAATAATGAAGATTCATTGTGAAAATTTGGAAAATATAGTAAAGCTAAATATGAAAGTAAAAAGAAGTGGAAAGTAATTCCACTACTAATGAGATTATTTTGATTATCTCAATCAAATACTGTTGTTATTTATATGTAGATAAGCAAGTAGTATGTATTTGTATATAGTACTATAGATTTTCATAATATATGCACATGTATGTTTGTATATGTATATACATGTGTCTGTGCATGTATATATATGTGTGTGTGTGTATATATGTGTGTATATATATATATATATATATATATATAGAGAGAGAGAGAGAGAGAGAGAGAGAGATGACTTATATACCTACTTTTTGACATCCAGTAATGACCATCTCCTCATGTTATTAATTGCTATTTTATAACATAGTTTTGCTTTTTTTGGTGCTGGGAATTGAACATGGGGCCTTGCTCATACTAAGCTTGTATTTTGCTACTGAGATACAACCTTATTCTCTTATACCATGTTTTTTAACCGGTTGTTTGATATTCTACAAATAGATGTATTATAATTAATTTAATCAGTTTTTATTTGTTAAAAGAAATGTGTCTATCATTGTTATAAGTGTTATGATATTTAATTATATAAATATAGATAAATATTTTTATGATAAATCATAGTGGTATGCACAAATTATTTTCTTAGGATAAATTTCCCTAAAATGAATTGCTCAGTCATAGAGAGAGATTCTTTTAAAAATTCCATTCTCTTTTATTACAACAACCTCTATGAAAACTGAACTATGCAGGCACTGGCTAGATTCAGAGATCCATAAGATGCTTGAATAGAGTAGAATTTTGACATAATTAATCAAAATGCCTTTATTATTTTATAAGTGAAAAATTGACTTAGTGAACTGAAGTTAGGTTCCTAAATTCAGGAAGCTGGAGATTAATAAGGGTAATGACAAAAACATGTTAAATATACTGAATTATATCCACTTACTTGCATCCAAGTAAGTGTGGTTAAATCAAACCTGGATATTTTTCCAGTAAAATACTTAAGGCCAAAACATTATCAGAACAAACATATAAAGATGAGTTGGGGTGGGACTATCACTAGTTTGGACTAAACTAGACCATGTAAGGTAAGTTACTGTTTACTAAGCCTTCTCTAACCGGTGATACGTCCCGGTGATTCCAAAGAGACAGTCAAGTCATGTGGAACATAATGCTTTGCTCCCAGGAGGAAATTCAGAACAAGATGAGGCTGCTTATAAAGTCTTCAGGTTGCCTCTAACAGTTCAAAGAAGAACACCTTTACTTTACTTTAATTTGGGTAATACATCATCCTTATAATTTGGTAAGATACCATTCTTATTATTTATCAATAAAGCAAGAATAAAAAGAAATTGAATTGAGTGCAGAGTGTGGGATAAGGGTATGTTCAATCAAATTTACTATCTTATATTTTTACAGAGATCCTTACTTAATTTATACAAATTGAAAATATGGGAGATTTCCTTGAGATTCAGCAAAGAAGGCTCACAATTCTCCATAAATAATTGACATGTGATTGACAGACCATCTGAGCAGATTTCTAATCTTACTATATTGTTTCATATTATATTATTATATAGTACTTATGTGTCAGAAATGCTACAGAGTACCTTATGTCTATTATTCCATGTAAACATACCACCAATGATGTGAAGTAGTGATTTTATTCATACTTTATAGTAAACTGAGTCTTAGAGAATATTAAATCACAAACGCATAGCTGGTCGGTGATAAGATTAGGCCTCAAATTCATGTCTAATGAACTTCAAATCCATCAGTCAGATTTCCACCATGATGAATTTGATGAATTTGAAAGACTTTGCCAGTGAATGAGCCAAACCTATGGCCTTTTGAAGTCAAGGTTACTTTCAGAATAATGGAGTTAGCAGGATGGTTTGGGATATAGAATTATAATATAAACTGATTTTCCATAGTTAGGAGTGTGGAATTATTAGGTTGTCAGGAAGCTAGCTAATTCAAGTCAGTAAGAAGGCATGGGCATCCCTTGAGTTGCTGAGACATGGGGACCAGGACAGTACAGGCTCTGTTTAAAGTTGTTTTCAAATACGTGAGCTAACAGGATCCTACTCTCAATGAAGGTTGAAGTACAAAGCTCCAAGAGCTGAATCATCCTAGATAAAGCTAAGGTAACTCCTAGATCAGTGGTTCTCAAACTGAGCCTGGGAAAATGCAGCATTTCTATTCATTAGCTCTGGGGCAGGATCAGAGAATTAAGTTTTCTTATGAGCTCCCCAGGAGTGCTGCTGACTCAGGACTGGAGACCACACTGGAGAACCACTGCGCTACAGCCAAGGCCAGGCCAGCCTGCAGCTCCAAATAGAGTGATTCCATCTGTGGGGATTGGAACTTGTGTGAAAAAAGGTCAGGCAGGGCATTACAAAGACAGAATTAACTCTCTCTGAAATCCTGCATTACGTTTCATGGTATCCATACGTTGGCAATCTGTTCAAAATAATTAAGTTTGCAGGAAGACAATGGCTCCCCCAGCTTTTCAGTCCAATGAGTACCATATGTCTTCCCTCTGGGAAGATGACTGACTTTAGCCCACCATGAACAAAGCTCCAAAATTAAGACAAGAACACTTTTAATCCTTTGACTATTATGGTCCTCTGCCCCAATCCAAATGTGTTCTTCTGTTGCTGGTCTTTAACAGTATCAGTAAGATGAGTGGCCATTAGGGAGCTTAATATACTTCTCTCATTTGAATTATATCCTTATCTCAGGTTTCAAGAAAATATGTTTTTTTTTCCTGAAGTATAGTAGTGTACCTTTGCTTTTTTCTACTTCAGAAGCAACTAAGCAAATATATTGCAAATTAATTTATGTCATGAAGTATTATTTTAATATTTTAACATATGTTTATCACTTCATGTATTTTTCCAGTCTACCTCTAAAAAACTGAGACTGAATTTTACACATATGTAACTTTTTGGTTACTCATGTTTGATTTTTAGAGTGGGGTGTTCTATATTTAATGTATGAAGTATTAAATTCCATTTCTAAAGTGTTTACTGAGAAGCAGTTCTTTAATAACTGGGTCTCATTTTCAACAGGTGTCCGCTTTTTAAATTAAAGAGATCTTAGAAATAGTTCTATAAAGGACCAATAGTCAGTGTTTTAGATTTTGCCACCATTATGGTCTCTGTTGTAACTACTAAACTGTTGTTTTAATCTAAAACAGTTATAGACAGTGTATGAATGAATGAACATAGCTACCTAAAATAAAATTTCATTTACAAAAGCAGATGGCAGTCCAGATTTGGCTATGGCCAAACTGTGCAACCCTAATCTAGTTTATTTCACTAATTTATCAGTGAGGCGACTAAGGCCTAAAGAGGGAAGTGACTGGCCCAGCTCGCTTCATTAGGAAATGGTGGGGTAAAGTCTAATTCTCAGGTTTGAATCCTAGTTAAATGTCTATACCACAAGACTACACAGTACATAGGACTCCTCTATATCATTCCTGTGTCAGATCAGTTCTGATCAAAGGTTTTCTCTTTCAGCTGCTCCAGCTGCATGGTATATGACAGCAGGGATTCTCAGTGTGTCCTTTATGTTTTTCTGCCAACCATTTGTGAAATATACCTTTAAGAGGTTTATATGTTTGTGAGATAGTTAAGAAAATAAGCATGAATAAAGGCTGGGTTTTTTTTTTCTCCATTTTCCAACTTTTTGGCGGGCTAAATTGTGATACCATTATAAAGAGCCCAAGGTTGAAGGTTTGATTCTGGAACTGACACAGAGAAAAGCTGTGGCAAGGTCACAGATGGCATGGACTACCTGACTAATCATTTTTCAAGTGTGTTTTGTGATTACACAGGGCTTGAGGAGAAAAGTGTAGATGATCCAGGGAGAAATACCCCCATAAAAGGAGACAGACTTGCAGTTCATATTCTGCAGTTGAGAAGAATTTCTTTTTTTCTCTGTGGAGGACACATTTTTTATTGTTGATTTTAGAAGAAAAACTGTCAACCAAACCTCTTTGCATCCTGTGAACATTATCCTTCTAGAAAATCTGCAAACTAGATTTAAACACTTTATATATCCTCTACAGTATCTTGTACTAATTTATTTTTAAATTATCCAGGTCATCTTTGCCTTATTATTATGCCATATTTGCTATTTATTCCCTAAATCTGTGATGGGGCAGATTGCTCATATTGTTCAGCTGTAAAGGAAAGTGGGACTATTGCCTTTGGGGAAAATGATGAAACCAAAGCTTGGATTCATGAGACTTTTGAAGCAAAGAACTTAAATTTGGGAATAGTTTTGTTGAAGCTCCAAATGAGAGATTTATTCTATCTTCTTACATATATATATATGTATGAGCTCTAAAGTTTGGACAAAACAGATATTCTCGGGTCATCATATTTGTGTGTGAGAGTGAGTATGTGTTGGGAGGGGAAGTTACCTGAGGATTCATATGGGCTGAAGCACACATGGAGATATTAGGATATGAGGCACTACTAAGGAACTTTCTCTTTGTAGCCTCTCTCTCAGGGTCTTCTTTGCCCTCTCACTTCATATTGGCTGCTCTCTTACTCTCCTGTTACCAGTTAGTCAGTCTACTCTGAATTCTCTATCTCAAACTAAGTAGGAGACAGTAGTATTCTCTTGCTTGTTAGCAGACCTCCATTGATAGCTTTCCTGCCAGGATGCCCAAAGTGTCTCTTGGAATCCTTTAGCTGAGCCACCTTCACACAGATGCCCATACTGCTTAAATTTTGTTATACTTCTTTTTCTGTATTTATTTTGTAAAATTATTCACATTCTTATTGAAAAAATTGCTAAATATACAACACTTGCAAAAGAAAAAAAAACTCAGTCTATCACTCCCATTTACTGATTGCTTTTCAGTCTTTATTTATTCTTTCATATAGGGTTGATTAAAAATAATGAGTGTAGGGTATATATTTTTTGTTTTGCATTAGAGCATAGTTGTCCTTCATGTAAGTATTCTTCCAAAATGATTATCATTAGCTGCAATAATATATCATGGTATGTTGTGCTTATAAGCCAGTGTTGAACACTTTGATGATTTCATCATTCCTTTTTAAAACTTATCAGCATTTCAGATTACTTTGTTAAGATAAATTCTAGAAGTAGACTGATAGAGTCAAAGAGAATGAGATTTCTAAAACTTTTGATAGGTACGTCAAACTGTTTTTCTAAAAGTTGGTTACAATTTTTACTTTTACCAGCAGGGTATAAGAGCATGAATTGTCATAATTTCACACCATTGAATGACAGCCTTTTTAAGTGAGTCATGCTAAGTTGAAAGTGTTACTTTCTTATTACTTTATATATTCTATTGATTATTCTGCTATTGTTGCTGAAGGACAGCATTTGGGAGCCTAGTCATGCCTATGCAGAAGCACTTGCTGCTTGATTTTCACCATTTGAGATGCTAATCCCATGATCACCTCTGTTTTCTCTAGCCATCATACACAGAATTTGACATCAGTGGCAATGTCCTGGCTCTCATCTTCAACCAAGGCATGATCTGGTAAGCCCAGCTTATCACCTATAGAATAGTCTCTGAGGTCATTATTGCAGAAAGCTGGAATAGGAGGAGATCACAGTTTGTGGGCTCTAACTCACCATTTGCCATTGCAAAGTAGATGGCTGTGAATAGTTTACTGTTTTCATATCTTAAAGTTTTGTCTTCAAATACATCTTCCTGTTTTGCAGAGTGTTTCCTTCATCAAATCACGGCAATTTGTGTTCTGGTTGGTAGATTTTTTTGAAGACTATCTTTTTGTATCATAGGACACCATGTTATAACAGGGAAACAGCAGTGATCACCTGTTAAGTGTGAAATGCATTAACACAAGGCCTTTTGCTTCACAGATTTTATTTTCTTGTCATTACTAAACATTGAAAATACATCTAATTTTAAAAAATATATTTTAAATACGGATAATTTAAAAAATATTTTACAAAATCCAATAGTCTATAGAGACAAAAATGTTATAAGAAATTCAAGTTCAAAATATGATCTTCATTTTGTAACTTGTTTTATAGGGCCGTTTGCACATTTGAATTGTTTCTTTTGATATGAAAAGATTGTCATATGTTTTATTAAATGGAAGCATTTTCACTTTAAATCCTGACAGGTTATGATAAGTTGATATAGAAGAAAACATTTTTGAGTTTAAAAATTGAATCACAGCATTTGATTTGTCAGGGGACCATGTGTCTTAGAAATCTGTCACTCTTAACTAAGAGCACCCCAACTCACAAGCAGCTGCAGTTGCCCTGTTTTATCCTGGAGGCATGTGTATAATTTGGAATGTGCTAACAACCACACCACTGTCCTACCACAAGTGCCAGCATAACTTCAGGTTTCAAGTAAATTTCGTACATTACTCAGATCCTTTAACCACTACTCACCTGAATTATTAAAGCTCTATCTCTTGATAGGCTAGGCCCTTTTGTAAACATTAAGACCATCTTGCTTCAACATAAATACTACTCTTAAGGGCTCATCATCCTGCCAGTGGGGACTGTCAAATTTCTGTGCTTCTTCTGAACCAATATGAGGAAAATATAATATAAAAATCTTTTTTCTCTGTTGCCAGATATATTTTAAAATGTAGTCTGTCTCCGCACTTTGTAAATTTTATAAGTATGGCTCAGATATCCAGAGATTCATTAAGGAGTGTGATGCATTTTTTGTTCACCACGCAGGGAGGAAACTCATGGTGGCCCAAGGAGAAAGGAGAGCAGCTCCTGTAGGTTCCAGTCTTTCACTTCCTGGAGGGGAATCTGTTGTTGTGGCAGAAAATGGCTAACATGGCTATTGGAGTACTGAGAAACCTCTGCCTTATGTCTGTGGCTTTCAGACAGAGTCATAAATTCCTCAGGCCTGGTGGGTGCCATTGGCACAGACACATCCTATGTGTCTATTATGTTCTTTCAGAGTGAAGACAACAGATTGACCTAGAAATCATTTTTATTGTCAGAAAAGCTGTTGTAATTGTCGCCCTGATTGGTTTTGCCTGTAATTTTGCAACTATTTATTCCACTATTGTTCATATTGAAATTCTGAAAAATCTAAAAATCTTTTTCAGTTTTCTCAAGGACAGACTCATTATCAAAATCTGTATATGCTGCCCTTTCACATTCTATGTACTCATCTTCACACATTGGTCAAGCTTGCTTCTGGTTAGTTTGATAGGAACTTTTAACAGTGAATGTTTTGTGAGTGTACAAAGATATTCACACACATTTTCCAGATTTCAAGAAGCAAAGTAACTTATTGTTCACCATGAAGTCCAATACTCTTTTCTAACTTCCAGGAAGTTGGTGAGGGAGTGGGGATGTGGTGCGATAGCAAGGTATATGGAGGGTGTAATTTAAGATTAGTAGACTCACTCTGCACAAAGGTGATTACCAGGTAATCATACTTGGTAACTCCATTATCTCATGAGGCATGAAAATCTGAGATTCCTGAGTTAGCCATTTTTGACAGAAGCAATAAAAAATTATGGGGATTTTGTATTAAATTCTATTGGTTTGTGACTAGAGACATTCAATTACTAGTCTAGGAGTTGCTGGAGAGTGGAATGCAGATTTTATTAGAGTCAAGACTTATAGATAAAACCCATTATATTATGAGTTGGCTGAATGATCATAAACCTTCATTTACATGCTTATTTTAACATACATATCTTAAGTGCCACAATAATTATAAATTATGAAAGCACATAATAACAAGCAGGAAGTAGAGGGGCAACTGAGAACACACAGTGATATGAAAAAGAAGAGTTTTTTGTATGTTGCCCCAACCCTGTCCCAGTTTTGTTACCATTCCCTCCTCATTTTCTTAGTTGATCACTTGTGAATAATGTACCTGACATGTACATAGTCCTAGGGTGATAAGGAAAGCTAAATAAAAGAAGCTTTCATTTGATTTTATTTTCTTGGAAGAAAAGCATTTTATAAGATTAAGATATTATAATGATTTTCAACTGGCAGATGACAGGATTAGGTCTGGGTAATGGACTTAGTGAGCAGAGCTGATTAGTAATCATGAACAAAGATAGGATAAGCATTAACATTCAGACTTTATTGTACCACTGTTTATCTAGGTTGTTGTTATTGAGTCATTTGTTTATAGTGTCTATGTGATAGTTATTTTGAACTTTGTTTACCAATAAATGCACATATATGTAATATATATGTAGATAACCAATGCATATAGACAAATAATGCCCACTTATGAACTTGTATAAAAAGGGGTGGTTCTGAATTACATGCAGAATTTTGTCTTAGATTCAATTAAGTTGTACATAATGAAACAACCTTAAAATCATGTCCAATATAAGTTGGGGGAGATCTCTGATCCTGTTCCTCACCTTCACTTTAGAGACCTAGACCAATAGAATAGAATCTGCTTGAACATTGCTGTTCACTACAGCAGGGAAAGAAGAGAGCAAATCCCACATGAGGGCTTGTAAAGTTTCCATCCAGCAGCGAGATAATCTTATTTACATCTATATTTTATTTTCCAAAACAATATTCAAGCCTGGTTTTTAGAATGAGGTAAATTAATCACCCCCCACATGTATTACATCACAGGTATTGGTATTTTGGAACATAAATCTTGGACTTTATAATTCTGATCCATAAACTGGGGATGTCACCCACTTACTCCTTTGTTGAGTTTCAACTCCTTTCTTGCTGTGTATAACATAGCATGTGCATAGTGCTATGTTATACTCTACTTTTCCATTAAAAATAACTTCCTACAATATTCTTGGTCAGTTCACTGTGGCAAATATCATTAAAGATCTATTGTCTGGAATCTTTATCACAAGATAATCTTAATTGTGGCAAATTCCACTTCTTAAAGGAATGAATTAACTTTGAGTTGTACAAGTTCAATTGTAGCAGGAGCTAATTTCTTCATCTAACTCAAATATGCCTCTGTAACATACCAACTTTACATTGAATTACTATACACATTTAGGGAATACAAAATGTTAAACTTACCAGAAATATTGAGGGTTTTATTATATTTGGGTCAGTTAAAAAGATAGGGCTCTACTCTATCTATAAAATATATCATCTTTTTGGTTTTGGACTAATAAGATACAATTCATATTGCTTTGTGGAATAATTGGATTTTCCAATCAAAGAAAACTGAAATTTATTTTGTTGAAATAATCAAATAACCCATTAAGTAAAAGTGACCTCACCTAAGTGGTTGCTGTTAGCAATGGTAGTTTTACACACTTTTTAAAAGGCATATTCACAAAGCAGTGGATTTCCAGAGTAAGTTAAGTCAGAAAGTAAGAATATAAGCTAAATTTGAATGGATTGTGGAATTTTAATCTCAAAAACACATAAAGTTAGCTATGAATTATCAAGAAAATATAGTATTATGTTATATAAACATCTCTTCCCAATCAGTCCAAAAGCACCAGACCTGCTATCAGAATGATTAGGAGCAGAAAAAGAAAAGTTTATTTAATTTTTTTCTCATTCAATAAGCAAAAATTAATTACCCATAATAAAAATGATCAATCCAAATGTGAGTTTATTTGAATAGAATGAGTGGCTTTAAGCATCAATTATTTTAAAAGTTATATCTTGAAATATGTTAATGATGTGAGTATGAAGAGGACATTGAATTTGTTTTGGAATGAGAAGAAAGACAAAAAACAACTGTAGCATATTGTTTACGCTTATAGTTTACTAATGGTGATAAGCAGAGTTAGTTCACAGCATAATTTCTATGAAAGAATTATGTATATTATACCTACAATAATGGAGTAAGTGTTAAAATATGTATGAAAGACAGAAATACACAAATTTATTTACTAAAAATGTGTGGTTGAATGTGGCAAAACAGTTTCTGCCTTTGGAGAGAAGAATGATATAAGAGTATGTAGATGCTTTGTGACTTCCTTACAGAGTAAAGATGCAAAATTGAGCAAATCTTTGCTTTTTTTAATAGGATGGGTTCCTTCTTCGCTCCCAGCCTCCCAGGCATCAATATCCTTCGACTCCACACTTCCATGTACTTCCAATGCTGGGCTGTGATGTGTTGCAACGTTCCGGAGGCCAGGGTCTTCAAAGCTTCCAGATCTAGTAATTTCTACCTGGGCATGCTGCTGCTCATCCTCTTCCTGTCCACCATGCCCGTCCTGTACATGATAGTGTCTCTTCCACCATCTTTTGATTGTGGTCCTTTCAGGTCTCTTGTTTTTAACTTTTTTACTTAGGCATAGTATTCATTTAGGGATAGAAGTGGGAATGGCCACACATTTCTATGCTATTTTTTTTTTAAACAGTGACATTTTTGGTTGGTACAAATGAGACCTTTGGGTATTTAGGACCATCGTGTGACAAGGAAAGTCTTAGTAAATTTCGATCTGTTTTCTCACTTGATGATCATAAAAGAAAAAAATAATCTATGCTCTGCCTGAATGAAATGCAGATGATGGATCTGAGCTGTTTAAATATTAGGGTATAGCTATAAGCAAGATTGGATTACAGGAGCCCAAATTTGAGTTTTCCCAATGCTTACCATCACATCCACACATAGTCAGCTATTGTTGTATCCCATGTGTGTTACCATCTTGGAATAAAAAAGGGAAATTGCCCAAACATTACCTAGGAAGTGGAATCATTATTAAATAATAATGAGTATAAAGAGGGTCATGTAACATGGTTCAAAATGCTACATTTAGTAGAAAATAATAGTGTGTATCTGAATTCTTCATACATATTTTTCCAAGTATCACTCCAGTCCATAATCAAGGTTCAAGAACCTTGGATTATCTTTGATCCAAGTTAATTTTTCTAGTCTCCATGACATAGTTCACTTTATGACACATATCAAAAAGTCCCTGGGATATGGAGGACAGGATTTCAATCGCTACAGGCCTTTAGCAATGAATCTACCACAAGCTCCCCCAGAATCTCTGTGTGTTGAGTTACTGACCAGCATGCATCTGAAGTGAAAGGAATGAGAATGCAAAATGCCATGTCAATGACAACCACGATGCTTTGACCACATATAATTTTCTCTTTATGCTGTCAGACCCATGTTATTTCACTAAAGTTAAAAGGTTTGTTGTCCACAGACTAAATATAAAAGAGGCTTTTATGTTGTTATACCAGTGACCTGAATTATTACTTCACTGGAAAAGAAAAAAATATATAAAGCCAGAGGATGGAGCAAAACTAGATGGAGTTATGTCAGACTCAGGAAATTGATGTCAACAAGGCCAGTTCATTTCAGTGTGTGTGTGTGTGTGTGTGTGTGTGTGTGTGTGCACACGCACATGCGTGCGGTTGCATTTCAAAATGGGCTGAAATAAATAATGCAGATAGTGACATCTGGAGACTAAACATGAAATTACAGTCTTGAAGTAGATATGTATCTTAAATTTGAAGTCTTCAGTAATTGAAAATTATCCACAGTTCTTTATATTCAGGATCACTTTTAAGGGTACTTCAGCTTTTTAACTGGAAGCCAATTCTTCTCAGTAAAAACTAGTAAAGAATCTTAGTTGATTAGAAGGGAAACCATACAATAGAAGGTTATACAGGTGCATTTAGATTTAAAATACCATTGAATTAGATGTGCAACGCTAGCACAATTGTAGCTTTTTAAGCTCTTACTCCCCATGCTCTCCTTATGTTACACATTGAGTTGCTCTAATTTTTACTGAAAAAGAAAATAGTTTGCAGTAGTATCTGACTTTCTTAATTTTCAAACTTAGGTAAAATTGTTGCATGAATATCAATATTTTGAGATTAAAGAAATTTAAACATTTTCAGAGGAGTACTGGGAAAAGGGCATGCCTATGTTTAGATAGTTTATTTTATTGTCTTTTTCCCACTTTTGGAGCAAAAGGATGTTACTTTGTCTGCTCTAAGGGTTTAAAAGTCTGTTCTGCACTAAAAATGAGGTGAGGAAGCACCTTCTTCTGGCTTTCCGTCCTAGGAACTAGGAATCTGAGATGTTCACTTCATCTACTTACTTAGTAAAAGTTGCCTGATACTTTCTGATTCTTGGTTGGGCAATAAATCCGAAAAGATGAATTTGAAGTAGGTTAATTTGAAATTAGAATTTTGTTTGCAAATTTGAATTTGAGGACACCTCAGTGATGACCAGTTGTGTTCAGGTTGCAGGTGTATTTTCAGGTAAGGTGGCTATAGTCTTTATCCGTTCAGCAAAGCAATTTGATGAGGCACACCACCATATTTTGATGAATTTTCTAGAAAATGATTCCAACAGCAACTAAGTAGGTTTCCCTTAAATAGTTAGACAATTTAAAAAGTATTTCTTTGATGTCCAGATAAGACAATTCTTCTAATTATCATAGCTCGCTGACATTTGATATGTCCCTCACCTATGTCAATAATTCTGAACACCTTGTGGTTCTCTAGCTTCTCATATGTCACCTTGCTAACATAATGACAATTTTATTTTCACTTACTGCATAAATAGCATGTACCAGGTAACATGAAAATTGTAGAAATATTTTAACACTGAAACAAATACTGCTTATAACATCATAAACATGAAATAACAACTCTCAATATTTTGGCATTTACTTGTATGTTTTCCTTGTATTAAGATTTTTATAACTTTGATCATACACTAAGAACTGGCTTATATAGAGCTTTAACAGTTAACATTATACTATGACATTGCTATTACATTATTCATTTGTAATTAGACTTTATGTGTCTGTACAGAACTGTAATTTGTGAAGCAAAACACAAACACTCTATAGTCCCATGACTCCTGAAATTACTGTTGGTTGATAGACAGTACTAGTTAGATCTGGAAAAAGTAGTTCTCTGCTCTGGCGCTTGTGCATCAAGTTCATTTCATAGTTGAAAATGTCTAAAGACTAAAAGAAACAAAAGAAAACAAAATATACTTGATGTTACACTGGCTTTTACTATGAGGATACATATAATTTGTTGAAACACAATCCAAATCTTTTATGAAAAATTTCAATCTTTTATCGTAGGATTAATATACAGATATGGAACAAATAACTTGGCATAATGAACATTCTGTTACAACTCTACATAGTCTACATGAAGTTAAAAACATCCTTCTCTCATATTTATAGCTTATAGAAACTGATTCTTCTATTAACTTAATGGGTAGTAGCTGGTTTTCACTGGGGGCTGTCCAGAAGAAGAAATATTGAGGGGCAAAGGTGTACCATTGAGGGTGGTTACCTATTAATAGCTCTGATAAAGATAGTCTGGAGGAAAATGGAATGAACACTATTGCATGGAAGCAGATATTGGATTATTTGTGAACTTTATTCTGCCAGGTTATTTCTTGTGCTCATTTTCAAAGCCAATTAAAAATTGTGTGCATTGTATACTCAGTCCAAAGCGCATTCTCTAATAAGAACAGCTGACTGAGGGGCAGACTTAGGAGCTATTACAAAATATATTTCAATCAAATTCTTAGAAATACCACATTAAAACATCTCTTAGTGCTGTGGGTTTTCCCCTAACTGCTTGTACCATGTGCTTATGTTGGGATAACATTTCTTGTATCTTATTCATTAGTTGACAAAATGATGTCAGAGAATCAGGATATATAGCTAAATATCAGATTCTTAACCCAAAATACCTAGACTGTATTTGAGAATTTTTCTAGTTTCCTTGCTGTGACCATAATTATTCCATTTGTTTTAAGCAACTCTCCCTTTTCTTTCTCTCTCCATTTCTCTTTTCCTCTCAGTGGCAAAAATAGGATGTTTGAAGTCATTGGTGAGACTCTGGAGCATGATTTCCCAAGCTGGATGGCAAAGATTTTGAGACAGCTTTCTAACCCTGGACTGGTCATCGCTGTCATTCTGGTCATGGCGTATGTGCTTCTCTTTTCATAGAAAAAGCCTTTGTAATTTTCTTCTGGTTCCTTTTATGTTTCAGCCTTTTCAATTTTTTCCCTTTCCCCAAGAGTTGTGTTGTAACCTAACCTAATCAGCGCTGATTACTTGATGGTGAAAGCTAAAATTCATGAGCCATATTCTGATCCTATTGGATGTAATTCATGGCCATCTGCAACTGTCTTTGCTTCCCGAGGATTATAAGATTTGTTCCCAAGTAACCAAACTAATTATCAGTAAGCAGAAAAAGCAAGGGAAACATAAATGCTAAATGCTAAATCCAATCAGCACATTGAGCTTCCCCCGACAATACAGCCCCCACCTCTTGTTCCATAAAGCAGATGGCTGTGAGTATACAGAAATGATAAGCCTCTAAGTTAATGTTTTCCTTGGGGTCCTATAGGCTATATTTTAGGGCTAAAAGCCTAAGATGTCTTAAAAATCACCCCACCTTTCTTCCTAGAGAGCTGTCAGTAACTATATGACCAGGATAATAGAATTAGTGGGCCAGAGGGTCTTAGAAAGGTCCCTTAGTCTATCTGTTCATACTCAGTACTGATTTCCAAAAGGGAATTTGTATGACTTGGCTTCTCACTCTTTGTCACAACAACTAAACTTATATTTTAAGTAAAGATATGTACTTGCTCTGGAAAAGCCAAGAAAACATGCCCTTCCTTTCAACCTTCCAGTTCCTCCTAAACAGAAAGTCTGAAACTGCCACTGCTTTCAGTCAGGGAAGGCAGGTATTAAGCCACCTTCAGGGACACTTTAGAAACAAAGGTGATGGAAAGGATGGGGCCAGTTTAAATAGGACAAGAAAATGTGAGGGAGAAATTCTCACTGGTGTGAAGTAAAGGAGCTAGGGATTCTGACCCAGTTATTGTTACCATCAACTGGCATTGTCATAGTCACAACCACATAAGAGGTTATCTTTTTCAGTTTTATAAATTAAGAAAGTGATTTACAGGAATGAAGTGGACTTCCCTAAGTGAGAAAGATAATAATGTGACAATATAGGGCTTAAAGTATACCATTTTTCAGTAAATCCAATGCTCACTCTTTTTCACCAGGACATCTATGAGAGAGGCTAGTAACCCATAGAAGTAATTAAACAGTAAAACAGATTACTATTATATGGTCAGAACCTTGATCATGGGGTGTTGTTAAGAATCTGATAGTGAGTCTCTGGTGGAGATGTGTTAGAAAATGACCTGCCCAATGCAACATGTTTCACAATATGGCCTTCAAGTGATTGTTTTTCTCCACATTTTCATGATACAGTGACTTATGAGAGCAAGTTTATAAGTGTCCTTTGAACTTTGTCAAAACCCTATTATAACCTATAGTGTTATAAATGAGGTCATGTTTAAACATGCACACATACATATACAAACAATATAAAGGTAAGATTTTGTTGCCATGTTATTAATTTATTAGGAAGCAGATTTGTTTTTAAGCAAAGGAGCAACATTGCTCAAATGTCACTACCTAAAGATCTGTGAAGTGTTCTAAGGGGGTGGAAAGGGAATCAATGCTGCTGTTGTTCCTAGCACTATCTATGCATTAGCTCCTTTAATTCCCCTAATAATCTAAGAAATTGGTTCCATTTATTATATTATCACTAGCACATGTAAGGTCTGCCCTAAATCAAGTGCCTGATCAGTAGAATTGAAACTCCTGTCTTCTCACCTTGCTTTTTATTTCCTCCACTCATTTGCACTAGAGTTTGGGACCAATGGAGATGTAGGAAGGCCTAGGAACCACTTGTTAGGGATGGTCTAGACTTAAGGCTTGCTTTTCTTAATTGGTCAGATATATTTTAGGTCAAGAACTGATGATCTCGTATGAGTACTTAGGTAAGCATTTAAATATGTAAAACACATTCTAAGTTCATGGGCTATAGAAAATAGTGTAGGCAAGGCTCTGGGTTCAACTCCAGTACAACAAATAACAACAACAGAAAAAAACAATTTGGGAGCCAGATATTATGTGGAGGCCATAGTTTGCCAGCCTTTGATAGAAAGGAAAATTGGCAGAATGTAAGGGTTAAATCAATGGCCAAAAGGGTTGATATTTAGCTCTATGCTTCTGATTTGAAACCTAAATTTCAGTTTATTATTGACTTGATGTTTTCAAATCCCGAGGTCTCATCTTTATGAGGCTCCTACAACTGGTTTGGCTTTTTATTACCTTTAAATAGAGGATGTTACAAGCATTTTGAATTTCCCGATGGATTCCATTAAATGTGCTTGGATGGTTGTTTTGAGTATTTGAGTGGAAGTCAGCTTAGAGTTTCGTTCCTTTTGAGATAAGGAAGTAATCTGTGAGGAATTCTCATTAACGACACATTTCAAAAAGGTAATGGATAAGTGGAGAATTCCAGAACTGAAAGTGACCAGTGAGATCTTTGAGTTCACTTTCTAAACCAGGAATATCCTTATAATACACACACACACACGCACACACACACGCACACACATGTGCACACGCACACACGCACACACATGTGCACACACACACGCACACACACATTTATTGAGCACCTATTTCATGCCAGATATTGCCCCAGATGTTTTCATGTATGCAACTTCAGGCAAACTCCAGTTAATCATAAAAGAGGTAAACAAGCTCAGCTAAGCCATATCAATAATTGTTCTGCTAGCACCAGATGGCTCATACAGGATTTTATCTGGCACGTTGGTGTGCAGAGGAAGTGCGCTTGATATTCAGTTATTTGCCACAAAGAGCAGTGTCAACTGCCTTTTTTGTTTTCATTGCATCTTTTCCTCTGTTCATTTTTACTTAAGAGAAAATGAACATATTTAATTTTGCAGAATTGTAGGACTGGAAATTACTTTTTCTAGAAATGTAAATGCCATCTAAAATCTAAAATTATTCCTTTATAAAACATTTTCATTTTGAAGAAAGGAGAAATACAAACAATATATTCTATGGAATTAACATGGAAAAAATCCATGTTAATTAACTGTACCTATGAGGGTTATATTCTTAGCTGTAAAAGTCGAAGGAGGGAATTTAAGGCAGGAAGTCATTTCCCCTTTTATTAGACACATTTCCTAAGGCTGATAGACTTTCCATTTTCTTGGATGCCATGAACATCAATTGAAAATGTTGCTTTTAAATGTCAACACATTTCCAAAAAGATGCTGATATGGGCAGTGTGGAATAGTGGATAGAGCACCAGGCTCATGTCAACACTCTATGATTTAATTAGGGGATTTTTGAGGAACTGAAAAATGCCACCAATTTTATTTTATTTTTAAATTTAGTTTGACCATCTATTATCTCAATGCTACTGCCAAGGGCCAGAAGGCAGCAAATCTGGATCTAAAAAAGAAGATGAAGCTGGTAGGATACAATTTATTTTAAAAGTACTGTCTTTCTTGATACTGAGTAGTAGAAAACAACAGAAAATATGATATTCTCTTCTTTCTAATTGTGTAGCAAGCTTTGGAGAACAAAATGCGGAACAAGAAGATGGCAGCTGCACGAGCAGGTTAGATACATTTATATTGGAATTTTTATTTTCCTAATAACAGTTAGGAAAACTGCTTTTTTATTTTTTCACATGAGATATTTGATGACAATGAGTATTAGTAAAGTCATTTCACAATCCACACCATCCATCTCTTTAGCCCTGTCAGGCATCTTATGCATGGAAGTTGGTTTATTTTCCTAGTGGGAGGAGAGGGAGAGAGAGAAACAGAGAGAGAGAGAGAAGACAGAATTCAAGAATGAAACTTAACAGTATGTGGTAAAAAATATGACCTTAAAAACTGATCTACAATAGCCATATATGATGGCTCAAATCTGTAATCCCAGCAGAGATTGGGAGGATCATAGTTCAAGGTCAGCCCAGGCACAAAGTTCATGGGTCCTCCATCTGAACCAATAAAAAGGTGGGCACAGTGGTTCACACTTTTCATCCCAGTTACGTGGGAAGTATAAACAAGAGGATTGTGGTCCAGGTCAGCCTGGGCATAAATACGAGACCTTATTCCCTAAAATAATGAAAGCAAAAAGGGCTGGGGGCATGCCTCAAGGAGTAGAGTGCCTGCCTGGCAAGCATGAGGCCCTGTGTTCAAACCCCAGTACACCAAAAAAATTGACTGAAGCAGATGAAAAGTTTTCTCTAGGATATGCATATAGCAAGTGCAATTAGTTCTTGTTCTATTTTTACACATGAAGGAAACAGTGAGAGGATCTCAAAAGGATCCTTCTCCAAGCTCACCAGCATTGATTGTCAGAAACCTTTTCAAATCCATTAACCTTTATAATTTTAAACCTCCCCAATTTTCAAACTACAGTAGCTCCTCCAACTGCAGAGTGCCTGCATCTACAGAGTCAACCACCTGCCTGTTGAAATTGATCAATTGTGACTAAACATGTACAGATTCTTTTCCTGTCATCATTCCCTAAATGATGCAGGAATACAGCTCCAATCTGTGTACCTGTGGTGGGGATCTTGGAACCAATCTCCTGTAGATATCGAGGGATGACCTTATTCTAATAAGGCAGATTCCTATTTGCAAAAATAATTATGTGCTTTGAGTCTCTCATGAAAACTGGTACCTAAGAACTTAGTGAATATTTTTCCCAACTTTATCTTCACTCCTAACTTTAGAATTCTTTGTAGTAGTAGAAATTGGTTTACTTTAAGAAGGAGAAGTTTATTAGTCACAAAAATGACCAGGGGAGTGGCTTCAGGACATTTAGAATATGCTCAGTGCTGAGCCCATTTCTCTGTGAATGTCTCAAGACCACATTCTTTCATGTTGGCTGACTTTTATGGCAGCAGGAATGGACACAGACACCTCCAAAGCCATGAAATTACACTGTAATTCCAAAGGGAGTGAGAATGTGATTTTGATTAGCTCTCTCAAAACTACCCAGGTCTCCTTATTTTAATACTGACCCCGCCTGGGTTATAATGTCACCATCATAACCCTGATGGTTATCATAACTCTGAACCAGTCACGATGTCCCAGTGAGACTATAGTGGACTGATATATCTGGACAGGACCCCCTCTTGGAGGTGGGCTTTGTCAGTTTTCCTGAAGCACATGGAATACACTGGAAAGGGAATGGTTACTTAATAAAATGGAAAAGGATTTTTGATATCTACAAACAACATGTAGTCAAGATACTGGGTTTTTTTGTTTGCTTTAGGCTTAACCTTAAAACATTATTTTTCTATCCAGCAGGCAGAAGTGTTGCTAGGTGCCAACTTGAATGGTTACAGTGATTTACAGTTAGGAGACTAATCTTTTCTAATTTTTTAAAATCAATACTAATAGGCACATAGTTAAGAGTCACCTACAAAGCTTATTATGAAAAACAGCATCTCTTTTTGCCTCTCCTACACTATTATGCCTTATTTCCCTTACCCATACCTTACTACTCAAAGATGGACTCTTTCAACTCAGTTGATTCTTTTGGTATTCATCTACAATTGCAAATTTTGTTACATTTTCCTGACTTAATTTTATTATCAATAAAAATTATTAACACAATGGAGATAATGATTTGGTTCTTTTTCATTCCAATTTCTCCATACCTTCTGCCCATAAAATTACATTATTATTTTTGGTTAGGACAATGTACTTTTTTATGGTTATGTACATTTTCATTGCTGAGCTATGTTGTAAATTATGATTACTTGCACATACTTACTAATTTTCTCAGGATTCATAATTGTCTCTTTTTAAGCATTTCATTATTTTTCTATGTATATATCAGCAATTCAATCTCCAAATCTCTGTTCTTTATTGAATTATACTCTCAATGTATTCAGACCTATTGGGTTTTCTGTCCATTTCATTTCCTTTGAGAAATCTTTCCTAGAATCATCTGAACTCCAGTCTCTATTGGTTCTCCCTTTATGTCTCATATACAGCTGTCTGTCATCTTTCTTTTCCTTTCGTTCAACAGTATCATAATTCTTCAGTTCTGTTTTAGAAATGCTGTCTTCCATTTTCCCCAACTTCCTCTTTCTCATTTTGTTTACATTTTGGGCAAGAAACAAATGTGAGAGGTACATTTTCTGAGATTTTTGCATGTCTGAAACTATCTTCTTTCGTTATCCCTCTTGACTTATACTTTGGAATATAAAATACACATTCCATTGCATGCTTTGTTTCAGAATTGCTATTGGGAAATCTAAAGCCATTCTGATGACTAACCTTGATTGGATAATTTGTATTTTTGTTGTTCTGTTGTTTTACCTGCCTGAAAATTATAGGATCTATTTCTTATCTCCAGTATTCTAAATTTATTATGGCCTATTTTCCATGAATCTTTTTCATTCCTTGTGTGCTCATCAGTAGGCCCTTTCACTAATGGATATTCATGATTTTCAGTTGCATGGAATTTTCAATTAATTATTTATTTTCATTTTCTATGTTCTTTTTTTTTTTTAGCACTCCTATTATTTGGATATTGAGTCTCTTGGACCAGTTAGTTTTAAATTTTTCTTTATTGCACTCTGTTTCTTTGCTTTATCCATGAATATTTCCTAACTTTAATTTTCAATGTTTATCTTGGCCTTTCCATTTTAGCATCATTATTTTACCTTCTGCAAGTCATTTTGCTGTCTAAACAACATCCATTGCTTCACTAATGGCGATAATAACTTGTTTTGCCTTTTTGAGAATATCAATAACCTTTTTGACGTTTCTTTACCTTTCATAGTCTCTGTTTTCTTTAAGTTGCTTGTAGTTTCTTTCTTCTGTTGGTGTCCATTAGAGCCTTTTCTCAGGTGGTGCATGGTCCTTGATGTTCAGGGTACACAGCAGGGTTTGGATGCTGTGTGAGTGAGGCTTGTAGATGGGTCTCCAAGGAGGTCTCTCTCTAGTCTCTTTGATGAACCCCAATGTCAGTATCTTTAGGGTTTTTTTCCTGGAAAGATCAGATTCCTCAGAAAAGTCACTTCTAAACTTCTGTCTGGAAAGTAAAGATTTCTTTAGCAAAAATTGTAGCACTTGAATTGGGAAGAGGTAAGGATGTCAATTTTTAGCTCATAAGTGATCATGTAAGTGCCTGCCCCCGCCCCCCCTCTGTCTTCACTGCATTACTTCCTGTAGTCTTGTATCCTTCAACATCTCTTTTTACTCTTTCAGGAAAAAAATTCTTCCAGTCTTCTGCCACATTAAGGAAGGAGGTGGTTACCCTTTGTGCCAACTGGGGAGAGCAGATCTGAGGCTCTAACTGCTTCTTAAGTAGACAGTTGACACATCCTCTTTGTATTGGTTCCTCACTTCCAGAAGTATCTGTGTCTTTTGAAGATTTTGCTGTGTAAATTATGTTGCTTCCCATCGTTTCTCTCTCCTAGTTTAGTATTTCTGGTTGCTTAAGTTGACAAATCACTCATCATTAGTCTATCTGGTTTTCAGCTTCCAAATTTCATTCTGTTGTTTCCTTTTTCTTTTTTAAAAACATTACTGGGTTTTAAACTTAGTGCCTCAGCCTGTAGGCAGGTACTCTATGACTTGAGCCTGATCCTAGTCCTTTTTTCCTTGGCTATTTTTGAGATAGGGTCTTGAATTTATGCCAGAGCCAGCCTGTACCACAATCCTCTTATTTATGCTTTCCAAGTAGTTAGGATGACAGGTGTGCACTTTTCATTGATTGAGATGGAGTCTTGTGAACTTTTTGCCTTGGCTGGTTTCATACCACCATCATCGCAATTTCTGTCTGCTTCCTTGGTAACTAGAATAACAGGCTTGAGCCACTGCACCTGGCTACCATTGTTGTTTCTTTTCCTGTTCTCCAGTTCATTGTAGGAAAAGAAACAATTAGAAAAATAATTCTGAATGTTCGTGTAGGAGTGGGAAAATTCAACTGAATATATTTACTCCAGAAGTATCTGTTACTGCTGAATGTCTTTTGGAGATTTTGCTGTGTAAATTACGTTGCTTCCTATCTTCCCTTTCTGATGGTTTAGGATTATGATTGTTCAAATTGACAAATCACTTATCATTAATCTGTCTGGTTCCTAGCTTCCAAATTTCCCCATTATTGCTTGTTCTTTCTTTCTCTTTCTTTTTTTTCTTTTGTAAAGTAATACTTGTAGGTGCTCTAGCTCCTGAGCCAAATACCCAGACATTTTTGCTTTGGTTATTTTTGAAATGGTATTTTGTGTTTCTGCCCAGGCTGACCTATACCACAATCCTTGATTTGTGCTTACCATGTAGCTGGGATGACAGGCATACACCATCACACCCAGCTTTTATTGCATGAGATGGGGTCTTGTGAATTTTTTGCCAAGGCTGGTCCATCCTCCCAATTTCACCTTCCTGTATATGTAAGGATTACACGCCTGGCTAACATTGTTCTTTTCTTGTTCTCCACTTCCTTGTAGGTTTTTTATCTTTTTTATTGTTGTGCTGGGTGGGGGTACATTGTGACATTTACAGTCTATCAAATTTCTTACAATCTATCAACTATGTCATCATTGAATTCATCCCCTACATCATTCTCCTTTATCTCATCTTCCCCCATTCCTGGATTAGTTTCAACAGTTATCATTTTCCATGTATATACCCGTGTACACAGTATTTGTACTGTATTTACTCTTCTTGTAGTTTTTATATACCTTCTCTATCCTAGAAAAAAAAGTTTCTTGAATGTTCTGTGTGGGAGGGTTAAAAATTCAACTCAATGTATTTACCTTCATAGCCTAGGCAAACCTTCCTATTTACTACATCTTCCTATTTACTAGCAATGATTTTATCTTCACTATGACTCTGCTTAACCCACAGTGCTAATCTGGGGAGTGCTTACCTATTGGGATAGAGTCTACCTTATTGGGGACTGGTTAGCACTATCTAGTCTTGCTGGGAATGAGGGATTAGAAGCATGTATCACACATTCTGGGAGTGTTTTTGTAACATTTAACCTCATCAAATTAGTGCTTGGAGTGAGTAGAGAATTCAAACTTTTATGACTTGAATTCTAATAAGAGTTATTTCTGTCTTTATTGTTTAAAATAAGGGTATAAAGATATTCCCATAATAGGCATAGTCACTCAGCAAATATCTTCTGAATATGTATGGGCAATGAGGAACTATTTTATCAGAAATATTTGAAAGGAATAGCTTTTTATATTCATTGTATAAATAATAATTATGTTACCAAATAAGCATCACTTTCATTCTCCTTTCTTTAGAATTTGTGAGTAGGTTGTAAAATAAGAAAAAGAGAAATATTTTGAATATAAAAATGCTAAGTAGTATAGCAAAGTGGATCACACTTTGAAGACACAAATTTCAGGTCATCTCATTCAGAGCCATTAAGTGAAATGAAAGTTAAATTTTCATTTGACTCTTTTTCATTTTTCTCTTTCTCTCTCTCTCTTTAAAATAGCTGCAGCTGCTGGTGGCCAGTAACTTTCACAGAGCTTGAGGGCTCAGAAGCACTCCTCATCTTCCTGTTGAAATATAGTATACTCTGTGAAGGCCCAGGGAAAACTGTTGGGAGTTGCGTTGTTCTACCACTCATATGTTATCATGGTCATGCTGGTCCATCATGGCATCATCAGTTCTTCTTGAGCAAGAAGGATCTCCACTTTCTTCCATATTCAGGATTTCCTCCAGCACTGACATTTCTCCTCTTCCTATTCCCCAGACCTTTGCCCAAACAAATTGGATTTAAAAGTGGGCATTATCCAACAGTACAGGTTACTGGTATAATTGGTAGGTTAACTTAAAATAAAACAAAAAATCTCATATCAACTTTCAACTTATACATTTGTTCTGCCATAGTGTTCTTGAGTTGGAATACTTCTTTTTCCCTCAAGTACAGAAATAGCTGCATAAAGTACTCATTGTAATCATTAATTAAATCACTTTTTGAAGCCAACACCTGTTTCCCCACCCAGGGACCCCCTACAAATGGGTCATATACCCATGACCTTTTTGTTTTTTGCTGTATTCAGTATGAGAAGAAATAGGCTTTTTAGAAAAAAATTCCTAAATGAGATAAGGGCCTAATTAGCACTGGCTTCCTGGTCTCTCACCTTGAGGAGGTATGTGGGCTTTGAACAACCTGAGTCTTTACAAGTTTAAAAATTAAAAAAAAAAGCCACTCTAAGTGACTGCTGTCCTATCAGGGTCAGCTCAGTTGATTTGCAATGATCATATTGCATGATTTTAGAGTCTAATAGTCGGTAATTTTTCTTTGCTTTTCTGTTAAGGTTAGGAAAACACACTTCAAGTGGGGGATTAATTTATAGATGTGTTCAAGCATTATTATTTACATAAAGTTTGAGTTGACCTTGAATAGTGACTCAATGCCCTCCTAGTCTTGGGTGTGGCTTTATCTCCTAAATCATGGTGTAACTTTCCAGAGCTAAGCCAATTTGCCTCCCATTATCTGGAGTTGACTTACTGATTTTTATTATCATTTCATTCTTCTACTGGCCATGGAAGGGTGACACAGTTCTCCTTCCAGTTTTGGATTTACTTCCTATGGTGTCCTTGTACAGAGTAGCTTCTGTTTCCAGTCATATCACTTCATTAATGGGCTTACTTGTACTCTCTTGCCTTCAATTTAGAATTTCTTATTTATATTGCTTTTCATGTAATTTTTCATGTTCCTTATTGTTTCTCGCATGTGTTGATCATCTATCTTGTCTAGATTGTAAGTTCCTTGTGAGCAGGGATCATAACTTCTAATTCTTTTTCATGCCTGGTATAGTGCTGTGCACAGGTAGGCACTGAATAAATGCTTGTTAATTAAATTGAATCAATTTAACTTACGGCAGTTGTATTATGAAACAAAATGTTCTGTAATCTGCACGAAAAATACTTATCTTGTAATAAATGCATTAGACTGAGTTTGCTATCATTACATTATAATGAACATGAGAAAATAAAGCTACAGTTTACATCTATGTGGATTATTTTTGCACTGTGTGTTAATAAAATCAGAGAATTGATTTATTGTGTTGACAAATTTAGAATGTGGATGACACCCCTTGCTCTTGATCTACTTCATAAAGATAATGAGATATGACAATGTGTTTACAAAGGTATTTGTCTCCTAAAGGTAGTGCACTTTTTATGTATTCATGTTTTAAATTTTATTTATTTATTTTTATTGTTGTGCTGGGTGTGGGTACATTGTAACATTTACAAAGTTTCTTACAATGTATCAAATACATTATACTTGAACTCCCCACTCCACTTCTCTTCCCCATCCCCCCCTATTCCTAGAACAGTATCAACAGGTATTTTGCAAAACACCTGTATACATTGTTTGTGCCATATTCATCCTCCTACCTCTTTCCCTGCAACCTTCCCCCTCCCAGTGGTGCTCCCCCCACTCCCCCTGCACTGGCCCGCAGAACCTGTTCCACCCTCCTGCTCTCCAATTTTGTGGAAGAAACAAACATAAAAGATAAAACAAGAAACATGACTTTTTGCTAGTTTGAGATAAAGATAGCTACAAGGGAGTTTCCTTGTGCTGTTCCGATGCATATATGTATTACAGTGCCAATTGATTTGCCTCTTCCAGGCCTCTTCACTCCTCCCTACTCCACTTCGCATGGTGGCCCTGGCCAGTTTAAAGTATCTGTATTCATTCCTGTACAGTGAGCACATCATACCTCATTCAAGTTTTTGGTTTCCTTCACTTGCCCTATCCTTCCCTTGCACAATCTCCCCTTAGTGTGATCTGTGTCCCATAACGTGGGTTTTGAGCCTAGCTAACTTCACTTAAGATGATCTTTTCCAATTCCATCCATTTACCTCCAAATGACAAAATTTCATTCTTCTTTATGGCTGAGGAAAATTTCATTGTGTATAAATACCACATTTTCTTAATCCAGTCCTCAGTAGTGGGGTATCTTGGGTGTTTCCTTAGCTTGGCTATTGTGAATAGTGCTGCAATAAACATGGGTGTGCAGGTGCCTTTGTAGTAAACTGAATCACATTCCTTCGGGTATATCCCTAGGAGGGGGATTGCTGGATCATATGGCAGATCTATGTTTGGTTTTTAAGAAGCCTCCATACTGTTTTCCATAGTGGTTGCACTAGCTTACATTTCCACCAGCAGTGTATGAAGGTTCCTTTTTCCCTGCATCCTCACCAACATTTGTTGGTGGTGTTCTTGATACTAGCCATTCTAATAAGAGTGAGGTGGAATCTTAGTGTGGTTTCAATTTACATTACCTTTATGGCCCGGGATGGTGAACATTTTTTCATGTGTTTTTTAGCCATTTGGATTTCTTCCTTTGAAAAAGTTCTGTTCAGTTCAGTTGCCCATTTCTCTAATGGGTCATTGATTTTGAGGGAGTTTAGTTTTTTGAACTCCCTGTTCATTCTGGTTATCAGTCCCTTGTCTGATGTATAGCTAGCAAAGATTTTCTCCCATTCTGTGGGTGGTTTCTTCAATTTAGAGACCATTTCTTTTGTTGTGCAGAAGGTACTTAATTTCATGAAGTCCCATTTGTTGATCCTTTTTCTTAGTTGCTGAGTCACTTGAGTTCTACTGAGGAAGTCCTTGGCTACGTATTGCTTCCAGTATATTCCCTGCTCTTTCCTGTACTAGCTTCAAGTTTTCAGGTCTGATATTAATTTAAGGTCCTTAATCCGCTTTGAGTTGATACTTGTACAGGGTGACAAACAAGGATCTAGTTTCCATTTTCTGCATGCAAATACCCAGTTTTCCCAGCAACATTTGTTAAAGAGGCTGTCTTTTCTTGATGGTATACTTTAGACACTTTAGAATAAATGTTAATGTTACAAACTTTCAGACATGATATGCCAAGTTTCAATCTTTCTATAAATTAAAAAATAACTTGGAGTTTTTACAGCACCTAAACACTTTCCTAATTTGTTAAGCAATTTCAGAAATTCTAACTTGTTCTGTCTCTGGAGAGTTGTTGAAAGTATTTCCATATTACTACAAAATCAAGAATCTGAAACAATAAATGCCACATCCAAAATTCTCTTGAATAGCCTTTCACTAGGATTATCAAATAGCTAAGGCTTATTTCTGTACTGATTTTTCCTATAGCTAACAAACAAAGCCAAGGGGAAATTTAGAAGGCCAAGAAACAAACTTAAAAAGTTTTGACAGATATGTGCAATAAACAACTACTTTATAAAGAGTTTGTAATTGATTTGAAAACTTAAAACATTGTATTTCAACATGTTTCATGAGTTATTTATTTATTTATTTATTTAGGCTTATGAGATGAACATATAGTTTGAACCACATCCAGGATTTATATTTATCAACTCTTACTTGAGCTGTTTTTTTTTTTTTTTTTTTGTTGTTGTTGTTATCCTGATCTACTCCTACAAGACCCAGGGCCAGAACTATATATCAAAAGAGTACAAAAGCAGGAATTTAAAAATGAGAGACTGAAAAATGGGATTGGCAGGTACTTGTATCTCTCAATGCACATGTGCACTTAAATTTTTGGAGCAGACTTTGAGACATGATTAAAACATTACTGAATCACTAAACTGCAATTATAGTTTTATTCCTATCTAGTTCTTGAAAGAGAAATGCCATTATGGGTAGTAGCAGTCCTCAAGTCCACATCTGGGACTTCTCAGAGTTTTCTTGTTGGATTACCCTGACCATTTGGCTTTACATAGTCCAGCTGCCTTTTCCATGACTGGTTGTGATGACCCAATAGTTATGAATAATGGAAAAATGTGTCCATGAAATATTTGATCTCAACTGGAAACTCAGATATAATGTAACACACATTTTTTTCATATATGCTACCAAAAAGTTCTCATACAAATCCTCATGTTACTTAAAAATTAATAATAGTAGCATATTGATGATAACACATTTATAAATTTTTAATGGAATAAAAGGATAGGAGAAACCTCATATCATTCAAAATAACTTCTAATAACATTTTTTTGTGTATTTTTTCTAGATTCATAATCATACACTCACAAATTCAATAACATAGTTTAGACATAAGATATTCCTAGCTTTATTTCACTTTTTCACTTGGTATATTATAATGTTGTAGAAATGATCTCAGGATGTTTTTATGGCATTTCTCATGAAATGCCATAAAATTAATATAATTTTATTACCTTCTATTACTTAAAATATTTCCTATTTCATAATAGTTATTCTTAGAAATCACTTAAATTTTCTCTTGATACTGTTTTATTTGTAGATACACAAAAAGTTCCTTTCAAGAACTCTCATTTCTTATGTTATCATTCCCTGGTAAATGGATGGAATTGGAGAACATCATTCTGAGTGAGGTTAGCCTGGCCCAAAAGATCAAAAATCGTATGTTCTCCCTCATATGCAGACATTAGATCAAGGGCAAACACAACAAGGGATTGGACTTTGAGCACATGATAAAAGCGAGAGCACACAAGGGAGGGGTGAGGATAGGTAAGAC